CATAGTAGTGTAAAAAAAAAAAAATTAAAGTGATATTATTCCCTGTAACGTTTTTGTGTGTAAAAAAATATGTAAATGGAAAAAGACTGTATTTCAGTGTTTATTTAAAAAATAACATCTCGGACAACAAATGGCTGGTGACAACAGTTGTTACAACCTCATTCGGTCCTAATAATGGATTGCAGACATTTTGGAAGCACCTTATTTGTGGCTGATTGGCAGTCTCAAAAAAAAAAAAAAGCTTCAACAGATCTCAACGATTGTACGAATCGAGTTGAGCCGATTGACGTTTGTAAGTATGGCTACTGTCCATGATGGACTCTGTACCCTAAACGTTGCCTGGCCAAATACACCGTTTTCATTGGCGTTCAATCAGAATCGTCATTGCTGCTGCTCCAGTCGCCGTCGTGAATGCACAACTTGGACCCTAACCAGGCACAGATGGCGCCGGGCCAGTTGTCCGCGATCAACACGAGCACCGTCCAGAAGACCAAGATAGACATCAGTACGGCGGCCATGAACAGGTTGGCATTGGCATTGGCCACAAGCTTTTCGTCACACCGCGGCGGCCATCGCTGCCCGTCCGGCTCGTTGCCGCGCAACCGCTTGTTCAGCGATTCGGCCACGTGCGACGCGGCCCACAGTGCCGGGTACCACTGGACCGGGTCGCGCAGCAGCGGCACCACTTCGGCGTTCAGCCAACTCCGCAACTCGGACTCGTACTCCAGCTGCCCGTCCGTGCCGTTCCACCGGGACTCGATGCACCGCGTCGTCGTGAGGTAGTACTCGTAGAACTGGTCGTACCGCTCGCCGTCCTGCAGATTCACCATGGGATGTTTGCCGTACGGCATGATTAGCGTTTTCGGTTTGACTGGTTTCTCGAAAAACGGCACCCGCACCATGGGATTGCCGTCCGCGTCGGTTTTGAGCGCGGCGCAAGGGTCGCCGTCGGCCGGAAAAGGCTCGGCGCCGTGGCGCATCACCGGGGTGGCCTGGCCGCAGCTGCTCACGGTGGCCTCGACGGGTGTCATCCATCCTCGACCGTCCGTGCGCAACGTGTATCTAAAATCACAAACGACGGGGGAGCTTTCAGTTTTCTGTCAGAAAAAAAAACACCTCGTTAGCCAGTTGAAGACAATGACAATGAATATGTCTTATGAGCAACACTGGTCTTTAATTTTCATTGCTTAACACTTGACCAGTTACTTAACGGAGCGTAAAACAGACTTGGCCTTGGCAAAGATACTGATGTTTTATGCCTCATCAAAAAACTGGACAAGTGTTAGCAGCAATAAAATACAAAAAAAGAAGTGTCGCTCATGAAAGTAAGAGGGGAAGTGAGTTTATGGACTAAAGAAAGAGTAGACTCGACCACAATGAGATTTAAAACTACCTTTTCTAAAATGGCACTGATTTTGAAAAAATTTCAAATTTCAGATTTTCCCTTTATTTACACTATAAGACCTAACTTTGTGCCAAATATCACGTTTCTACCTATGCGGGAAGTGCCTTATAATTTTGATGATAGTGAATGAGGCAGTAGCATAACTGCAAACCTTGAAAAGGCTTAATATTAATGGCCCCATTTTTTACAGTGTTCTAAGCTACTTAAGCTTAATCTATGATTCCAATTCTAAAAGCCCGTCTTATGAGAAAGCAGATATATGAGAGTTAGAAAAACCGGGTGAATTGGTTCATGTAATGATACACCAGCGTTGCTGGAACTTGGCCGGTGTACTGTCATGCGATCAGATGGTGCATAATCCTGCATACATAGAAACAAGACCGGTACAGGTAGGATAAGTACGTTGAATACGTCCTACTTTATCTTGTCCAAGAACTGGTGCAACTTTTTGGCCGTCGAATATGTCATCTGTCCCTCGTAGTACAGTTTCCTGGCGTTGGGTAATAGCACCCCGTGCATGTACCCTCCAATGGCGTCGGACATTACGACCAAAATGCGTTTTCTCTTGGCCAAGTTCAATGTGTTGGCGCTTTTCTTGATCACCGCCAAATATTTCAAGAAAGCCTCGCCGTCGGTGGGCACTCGGGCGGGTATCAGTAGATCGGCCAACATCCTGTACTGCAAATCCAACCGTTCGCGGTCCGTCCAGTCCGTCCTGTTGCCGGCAGACCGCGCGTAAAGAACCGTACCGACGTTCGGAGGTTGGTAGCACTGGCTGACCAAACAGTCCAGGCACAACGCGAAAAGAAAAACGAAACGAATCATGTCACGTGCACTTAACAGCTGCGTTCGAGTGTACAAAGCAAAAGAACGAACGGAACGACAACGAAAAAAATTTGCCAGATACGTTGTTTACAAACAGTTGCTTGGTTATGGTTTACAAAAAAAAAAAAACCAAATTTTTATTATCATCGCAGATTAATTGAGGCGCTCAGATGCCAAACCGATTAACTCCAATTTTTTCAAATTGCCAATAATAACACGGTTGGATTAAAAAAGTGTATAATTTTCAGTGGCCAATATAAATAACTCCACAGTTGATTTTTTCACCACTAGAGTGCGCTAAGAAAATTGTCAATTGTACTTACATAAATTGTTTCAAATAACTTTAACTGGCTGTCCTGAAAATGTTCATTTTATGGAGTCAATCGGTTTGGCATCTGAGCGCCTCAATTATCAATAATATCCAAATAGTGTACTTTGCGGTGAAAATATAGCATTTATACAACGGTTTTCGATTCGACGCTTACTACTAAATGATGATGACAAAAATATTCTCTACATTCTCTACAATAATAAAGTAAAAAAAAACTGATAAGAAATACAGATAACAACATGAATATAAGTTTTTTTGGTTGTGTTGAATTTTATACATTACTCGTGAAAAAATTATAATATATTATGTTTATAAGCTAAAAACAAGCAAAAATCGAATCATTGTCTAATTTAATATATTCTCAGCTCATCGTCAAAACTAGATTTGTTAACTGAATATTACGATAACGAGACTGCATACTTGAAAATAATTGCTAATTTGTATTTATATAAATTGCATCATTAAATAACTCTGTTCCTGCTTGGCTATAATAATATGGAGTATACTAAGTGAAGGGCATTGTGACAAACGGTATTATATTTTATAATAATAAAATCCAATAAGGAGAACAACCTTGTGTTTTCTTAACAATGTATAATTGGTTTTCAAGTGTACCTACTTGAGACAGCAAAATATTATGATTTATCAAAAAAACAAAAATGCATTAAGGGTAGCACCGACCTACTTCGTTTTGCCGTCCCTTCAGTTTAAGCACTTGTTGTCACAACGTTTATTATTATTGTTGTTGTTTTTTTACTATAAAATGTCGTATTGTATATTTAGATACAATACTTATATCCATACGTTGGCTTTGCGGTGAAGTAATTATTATTAGTAGGTATAATAGTTGTTCTTAGTAATAATAGAAATGTATTTTATTATTTTTTTTATTCATTATTAATATATTTTTCAATATTTATAACACCGTACAAAATATATTAATGGTGTTTAAAAATCAAAGCAGTGTGCCGGAAAATAACTCAGTGGCCGTAAGGAATTCAAGAGTCGTTGAACTCTCTATCTTTCTTATTTTTACAGTAAGAATATTCGAGGAAACGTTTTAAATTAAAATGTTCATAAAATATTAATAATTATGTACAGAAAAAAAATATGTATATATATATATTCATATATATTATAATTTATTATAAAACCACAGCCGGATAAATAATAGTATTATAAACGCAAAAGGAAGTTATTGTGATTCCATGTAAGTGCTCATTCGGAAAAATCACGGTTCTATTAGAAGTATAATTAAATAAGGTATTTGTTTTTAAGATAAAATCATAATTAACGTAATGTATATAAAATTATAAATATTGAACCGAATAATATTGTCATGTTGTGGTAAAAAATACAATTGATTATTTTCACTTAAAAAACATAATTAAAATTTCGCATTTAAAATAAATTATTACTATGGAATTTATTAGCAAAAAACAAAAAAAGGAAAAAATTATTAGCCTAACTAAAAGTTGATTTGAAAAAATTAACATTGATTGAGAAAAAGATCGTTTAATTAGTAGTTTCAAAATTTAATTTTGAGATCTGTTGAGTCAGAGATCAATTAACCTTCAAGTCATATTTTGTTCCTTTCTTTTTATGCTGATAAATTATATGTGAATTCTTTTTTTTTGTATAAATAGTACTTTAGATAACACCCGAAAAATAATTCAATCTCAACAAATTCTTTTGAAATTTGAAAATATTGATAAAATTAATAAAAAAAAATATATATACACTTAAAAGAAGAATAAAACCAGATTTTTTAAAAACTTGTTTTAATGCAACCCAGTCAACCACCATTTAAAAGCAAAAAAACTTGTTGTGACCCTAAAGGCAGTTCTCACCAGCTTAACTTCAAATGTATGTACATAGTTTAACAATACTAAAATAATTTAAAAGAAAAGTTTGACCACTCCATTATAGCTATATTTTCTTAAAACATAATTCCAAGCCTTATACCTCAAAAAGAAATATAAATAACTCTAATAAAATTTTTTAAGGTAATGCAGCCGTTATGTTATACTCAAACTAAATTGTTAGATTAGAAATATATTAACTTTTATAAGAAATACAAATATTTAAAAATAGGTATTTTCAGGATCGCATATAAACCGAAAAGTATTTTTCATAGACATAGTTCTAGCTGGCAGTGTCCTCTGTAATATTTTCTATTATATAACAGTAGTTTAATTGTTAGCTTAAGGATTAAAAGTGTAAGGAGAATATATCATCGAATCGCTGACCTGAGCACTCCTTATCATTCGCGAATTCACGATTTGGTGTTATCTGGCCATTCATTCTCAATCCCACAACCTTGTACAAAACTACCACCAAACAAATGTTGATTTAACCCTTTTTCACGTCGCAAATAATAAACAAATGGTTTTATAATCATAAACTACGAGTATATTACAAAATGTTTTTTTTTTCGGGACTGCCACATATTTAGAATACAACAAAAGTTGTATAACTTCGGATCACAGGAAGTGTGTACATTTTTTTTTAGTAAGTAAGAGGCACACCGCCTGTCACCGAGTCTTCGATTTCGCACTCGTTGGTGCCTCTTCGGATCTTGAACGTTCCCCAGTCACCCCAGTGGTAATTCCACGAGTTAACCATTAACCAGTAAGGAACTCCTCGTTCGACTCCCCAACCGATCAATTTCACGGAATGTCCTGCTCCCATGTAAGTAGCGTTTTCCGTCTTCACGTAGACGCCTACGGCAAGTAAAAAAATGTTTGGGTAAAGCCATTTTCCGCAAGAAAGGTTAGTAGAACTATATTATGTATCTTACCAGATTTGTAGTTAATGAAGTCGTCGTACACTTTGAATGACGCTTCGACTGGGCCGTAAGCCAACACGTCCTTTTGAATCATGGCAGGTGTAAGGTGGTACGCGTCTCGGGCTGTAACAATAAGAAAAAACCAATTAAATTTTTCGAGTTCATCGGAATAATGGTCAAAATTGGTCAGTGGTAATACTCATATTGGAATATGTTCTTACTATAGAAAATATTGTCTTTGTAACTGATGCTGGTGTCTCCGTCACACTCATGCTTGCAACTGTGTTTTTCCTCTGGTTCCTATAGTGTAAAGGACCGTTCAGTCAATATTGTCATTGAAGATTTAGGGTTTAGGTTAGATCTTGTTAATGATGTTTATGGTATTCTAATAATAACCTCAAATATATCATTTCATAGTATAAAAAAAGCAACCACGATGGTTTGGACAAGACGGTAAAATATACCTCAGCCACCATAAAAGGCTTGGATTCATTTTATTAAATTGGGGCTTTTGCTGTTGAGGAAATAACAGGAAAAAACTCCTAAGGACATTGGTTGAGTTTGATAAGGTTAGCGATTGGAGAGAAACAAACAAACGAAATTCACGTGAAATGTGCAAGTTGAATTTTTTTTAAATTTATTACTTGAGTATAAATTATCTTAGTCATTTCTAGCTCATGGATTTTTACCTGTTCTGTCGTTGTGGACAATTCTGGTGACTCCGTAACTGTGGCTGGATCAATTAGGTCCGGTTGTGTACTGACCATGATGCTTGTTCTTTTGTAATCATTAGACGGCGGTACTCTGTATGGTTTGCAACCCTATAGTGCAAAAGATCGGCCAGTCAGTACTGCCAGTGAGACTTAGGGTCTAAATTAGTTTATTTTTTTGTTTTCGATATTTGGGGTTATTATATTACTGATAACATTGTTAGGCTTAAAAAGCGAGAAACAAAAAGTATCTTAGCCATCTCTAGGTCAGGAATATGTACATGATTTTAACACTACTCCAAATGTATCGTTGCCGAACTGATTGAATCAATATCAAAGTGTAGAATACTCACCTCGTGGGTTCCGTAGTCTCCTCCGGTGACAATGCCGTGATGTTTAAAGTACCTCCAGGCTTGGATTGGCCACCCGCCTAAACATTGAAAACCGCAATAATAACAACAGAAGGTCAATTGATCAACCGAAAGCAATTGGTTGAATTTTCCGTCGGTGGCTATGCATAAGCGATCGGAAAAAGCGCTGGTGGTCGAATGTGCCTGTGTACGGTAATTGCAATTAAGATTAAAATCACAAATATATACTGCTATGTATTGCACTTGAGGTCGACAATGATGAAGTGAAACAATATTACTATATTATCAAATAAATAATTACCCAACAGCTGCCGCACTGTCCTTGATCCCGGATGTGACCGACCGTTTGACAGTTCTTCCACTTTTTTCTCGCGTCAAACGTTCGAGGAATGTACTGGATATTTTCATAATTCGGATCTGCGGTCTTTACCGGACCGTTCGACGATGATCCAACGCCTTTGGATCCCAACATGCTTTTAAAGTACTCGACGGGAGTGTCCGAATGGAAATTTTTACCGGCCTAAAATGAATTCGACACCAAATTACAGTTTCTTCCGCACAACTTGACATTCTTTGATTATTAGACATTAAGAACTTAAGTCTACACACTATTAAAATATAATCTTTATACTTTATCATGTAATACACGGTTGAAAATTTAACTTAAATATTTTGAAAATTATTTATTATGACATGATAATTTTACATTTAACAATAAAAACCAATTTTGATAATTTGATTAAATTAACATTAAATTTAAAACTTATATTTAATAATGCTCGTTTTTATTATATAGTTATGCAAGTAAAGTAGATGCATTTTTAATTACACGTTTTAAATATACTTACTTAACGTTAAAAATGTAGTGTACATAAAACAATAAAAGTTTTGATTGACAAAATAATTGTGGCTAATAGTTCAATTCTTGGGGTAAAAATTTAATTTTATCACAGGTTAATAAATTAATTAATAATAGAATTAAATAAAATTGTACTCAAATCATTTTTAACTCTAATGATCGGACGAGAAAATTGGAAATAGGAAATATGATCTTCGCTGCCTTTTTTAAAATCTTAAACACAATGCCGTAAATCATTTACAAGGTGATCACTTTTTTCATAATGTTTTCAAACAATATTTTCTCAATTTTTCATACTACTTTTTTTGTTTTTATCCCCCCCCCCTTGTTTTATTGATAGCAACTTTTTTAACTTAAATAGAATCACACGTATTTCAATAACTTTTTTTACTGAAAATGACTTACTAAAAATATTGACTGGTCGATAACCAGTATTGGATAACTATTTTAAAGTTATTAAAGTTTCAAGTTAAGGGCAGGATAAAAATATAATGCTCATTATTCTCAATTTGAAAGCTAATAAAACATATATCATTTAATAATTTAATATTTCTGTCCTAAGACTAAGATAAATATGGGTTAAAAACAACTTAAATTTTGAAAAACTGAGATCACATTGTATAAAAACATTATGAAAAATATTGTCTTATTTAACTCTATGAGAAATTGAGTGCTTTACAAATAAAATGACCACTCTGTAGACATTTGATTAAATAAAATTGAGGGTCATTTCACTAAAATGTCATGATTTAAAAAAAAAAAAAAAATCCTTCCAAAATGAATTTAGTAATCTACTCACCAATTATTAGGTACTTTACTAAGACTAAAAAGTAAAATATTAAATTAATTGATTAAAATTTTTTTTTTTAAAAAACAAGCTTTTCAAAAAAAGTGAACGTAAAAGTAAAACATAATTTTACTACAAGAACGATTTACCAATCAATTGTAGAACGTTTTATTTAAAATGTCAATTTTTTTAAAAACAACCGAAAATTAACTACAGCTTAAAATTATGTTAAACATCTTACATTTTTTAATAAAAATAAAACCATAGGCCTTTTTTAAATAAATCCCTAATAAATTAATAACATTAGATGAAATGTTTTTTGATAAATTTATTAAGGACTTTGTTGAATAGGGCCCACGCCTTTCTTTTTAGTCAAAAATTAAAGATATTTAACATTATTTGAAATTGTAGTTCATAATCGGTTGTTTTTTAAGTTATTGACATTTTAAATAAAATGTGATACAATTTATTGGTAAATTGTCTTTGTAGTAAAATTATTTTTTACTTTTTAGTTTTACTGTTTTTTAAAAAAGCTTATTTTTAAAAAAAGTTTTTTTTTATATTTTATACTTTAAAACCTTAAGCACAATGCCGTCAATCATATATACAAAACATTGGATGGAAGTTGTAACCAAATTAACGAGTCATTATAACTATAAGCTATGGATTAATGTACACATTAATTAATATAAAATATTATAATAACTTACCTTCCATGTTGTTGCTTCGTTATTGATTTGATTAATGTAATCGTCGGTGAGAAAATGTGCTTGTTCAGTTTGATAAATACTGACCAAAACGATGGACAGCAAAATAAAAACTCTCGACATGGTTAAGATGAATAATTGTATTTAAATAATAACAACTACACAACTTTTGTTCTTATTGATCAGAAGGCATGTGAATAGTTTTAAATTAAAATAATAGGCTTATATATCCATCATGGACTACTTCAAGATTAAGTAATAAAGATTGTTCCAAGAACAAGCTCTCGAGCTGATTGTAAAATGAATTTGGATTTATTTGTCATCTTTACCTTTTCAAATTAATATCTAAGTAATATTTGTATGATAATGATTGGGAACAAAAAATTAGATAAAAAGTTTTTGACATTTACTTTGATTGTCAACGTAGGTTTGTATCATATTGCGTAAAAAATTACCCATACACAAATTTTGGTTCCAAGGACAAACTCTCGAGCACATAATACAATTTATTTTATTATTTTATCTATACCTTTTTAATTAATTTCTAAGTACTGTGATTATCATTGCGATAGGGAATAGAAGATAACTTTTAAACGTGTGACCCATGTGTTTCATTAAAAGCTTGGTGTTACGATTTTTCATTTTGTATTTTTTATATATTATGTTATATTATTTTGCTGCATAAAATTTAATTCACACAATTTAATGAAATAGCCCTACCATATAATATGGTTGACAAATATAAAAAGTTTTAAAAATATATTTATATCATATTGTGGTTTTAACAAGTATAGGTACCTAAAATGTACTACAGTTAACCTTTAATTGATAATACATGAATCTAATTTTTTTTTTTTACTTTTTAATTCAACATTTGATTTTTATGTTAGTATTCATTGAACTCTGCATTTAGTATTATGGACTTTTCTACCAATCTAGTCTATGGATTGTTTGTTTTAAATTATCATAAAAAAATATTAGAAACCTACATTATTGAAAAAATTATACATATTATAGTGAGCTGTGGTTCACCCCGTGACCTCAAACCCTGATTTTGAGTTGGGTTTTTTTATATTTATTTTGTTTTCCAACGTAGAGAAGAACTCATACTTAAATTTTTAACTAATTTGACTAAAACGTGAAGTCGCTGTTTGAAGTGTCTACCGAATCGATTTCAAAATGTTTTATTACATTGAGGTCACCACTTTAGTGTTTTAGTTATAAAAAAATGTAGTTATATCACTGAATTAAAAAGAATCGGAAATAAAATATAATAACACTTAAATGACATTTTTTAGCAAATATTATTCATTATTCTGAGAAAAAAAAACTTTAAACGTTTTATAATAAAAAAAACTTAACTTCAGTTAATATTTTTAACTTTAAAACTAGTTGGCATATTTAAAACGGTTACTAGATCTTTATCTGTCAAATATTGCTTATACTTTTCATTTTGAGGGAGTCATCCTTGATTAAATACAAGTTTGAGTACAGATTTCTAAGAAAATTGCAGAAAATTTTCTTTGGATAAAATGTTGTCGATGTACTTTGAAAAATAAAAAAACATTTTATTTTAGTTATTCAACTTTTTGTGTTATGTTTACTCCCGGTTTCCCAAAGTTTATTGTATTAGTATTTATAATCAATAAATAGGAAATAAATTAATAAATATTAATACGAAACCGCGAAGATCTTTGCATGTTATTCGATATAACAAATATAAACGTCGACTTTGTTATTACAAGTGAAGAGAAATATATCACATTTTTACTCACTTACAACTAACAATCAACTCTACCTTTTAATTACACATACTTATTTTTTTATTCAAATTCACATTAAAATATCTTATACATATTATAAATATGTAGATAGGTATGTAGTATAATAAAATATGATTTATATTGTCCAATGGTGTTAGTCAATATTTTAGAATATAACTTAATAAATTTGATATTATAACTTTTTAATTAGAATAAAATAAAAATATGACTATATGACATAACACATAAAAATATATATATATATTCTTAACGTCTTATCAAGTCGATATTGAGTAAATTGTGGATGGATAAAAAAAAACTCTTTAAGCATAATAGTGTAATATTTAATACAGAGTGTCCAACAAAAATAAGACAAATGAAATAACTTTTGTTTTAGTGAATATTTTTAACAATGATATATTTTAACATATTTTTTTTTCTGTAATATTACTCCTATAAATTACATATAGTTAATAATGTTACAAATGTATTAGAAACAACGTTCTAAAATTCTATATTGTTGACATTAAACTGTACATATTTTATTTTTATTAAGAGAAATATTGAACCTACAAAAAAATACTATTAGTTAATTCTTAATGTATACAAAAAAGAATCAAATTCTACATTTTAAGAAATCCATTTTTTTTTACAATTTATTGTCTTTAATACGATTTAAAAAGTACAAGTTAAGCTTGTACACACTATTTTTCCCGTTTTAACTAAAAAGATTATAGTGTAACGGCACCAGTGACTGGCACTATAATCCAGCCTTTGACTATGCAATGTTTTTTATAACAGTTAGTTGAATTTCAAGTTCACCTACTTGAGACCGAAAACCTTATGATTTACCAAAAAAAAAATTAAATAAAGGTAGCTTCGACCATTTTTGTTTTATGTACTTTTCAGTTTAAGCACTTGTAGCCACAACATTTATTATTATTGTTGTTTCGTTTTTACTATAAAATGGCATAGTATATATTATTTAGAGACATTAATTATATCCATACGTTGGCTATCAATATATTGTTAGGTATAATTATTGTTCTTAGTAATAATAGAAATATATATATATATTTTATACATTATTAATATATTTTTTAAACATTTATAACCACCGGACAAAATATTTAAATTGGGTTTAAAAATCAAAGTTTTGTGCCGGAAAATAACTCAGTGGCCGTAAGGAATTCACGAGTCTTTGAACTCTGTTTCTTTCTTCTTTCTTAAAAAATTAATATTAGAGGAAACGCTTTATATTAAAATGTTCACAAAATATTAATAATAATCTACCAAAAAAAAATAATATTATAAAACAACAGCCGGATAAATAGTAATATTATAAACGTAAAATGAAGTTTTTGTGATTTAATGTAAGAGCTTATTAGGGAAAACCGCGGTTTTATTATAATTATAATTAAAAAATGTATTTTTTTTTTTAATACAAAATCATAATATATATAAATATTGACCCGAATAATATTGTGGAGAAAAATACAATGGTTTTTTCCACTTGAAAAATCTAATTCAAATTTGGTATTTAAAATATATTATGACTATAGAATTTACTATCATAGAAAAAAAAGAAACAAAATATGATCTTAACGAAAAGTTGATTTGAAAAAATTAAAGTTATTATAGAAAAGGGTAGTTAAATTAGGATTTTCGAAAATTTCTTTTTTGAGACCTGTACCTCCGTCAATATTTATTTTTATGATTCAAGTCATACTTTGTTACTTTCATTTTGTAGCTTAACGATTGAGAGAGTTAGGTGAATAATTTTTCGACTCGCTGACATGAACATTCTTTATCCTTTGCGAATTCATGGCTTATCTGCTGCTTTAGCCTTTTTCACGAGGCAAATAATAAACTAGAGTTATATTATTATAAACTATATTACAATAACGTTTTTTTTTCGAGATTGCCACATATTTAGAATAAAACAAAAGTTGTTTTTTTTTACTAAGTAAGAGGCACACCGCCTGTCACCGAATCTTCGATTCTGCACTCGTTCGTGCCTCTTCGGATCTTAAACGTTCCCCAATCACCCCACTCGTAATTCCATGAGTTGACCATCAACCAATAAGGTACTCCTTGTTCGACTCCCCAACCGATCAATTTCACGGAATGTCCTCCCATGTAGGTAGCGTTCTCCGTCCTCGCGTAGACGCCTGTGGGTAGTTAAATCATGATTGGGTAAAGCTGCATTCAGGTAGAAAGGCTAGTTAAACTACTTTTTGTACCTTACCATATTTGTAGTTCATGAAGTCTTCGTACACGTCAAAAGACGCTTCGACTGGGCCGTAAACCATCACGTCCTTTTGAATCATGGCATCTGTAAGGTGGTACGCGTCTCGGGCTGTAATAATAAGGAAAAAGCCATTTAAATGTTTCCAGTTAGTCGGAATAATGATCGAGATCAGTGGTAATCTTTCAATTTAAATAATATGTTCTTACTATAGAAAAGATCGTCGGTGTAACTGAGGCTGGTGTCTCCATCACATTCTCGCTTGCAGCTGTGTTTATCCTGTGGTTCCTATAGTGCAAAAAACCGGTCGGTCAATATTGTCATTAAAGATTTAAGGTCTAGGTTGTATCATGTTAAGTTAATGATGTATAGGATATTCTAAAATCAACAGCAATCATATAATTGTGTAGTGTAAAAAAGTAACCACGTTGGTTTGGACAGATCGGTAAAATGTACCTTCACCACCAAAAAAGGCATATATTATTAAATTGTGGCGTTTGTTTTGCTGAGGAAACAACAGGAAAATACTCCTAAGGACATGATGATTGGTTGAGTATGATAAAGTTAACGATTGGAAAAGAACGAACAAATAAAACTCACGTGGAACGGCAAGTTCAAGTTTTTTTTAAAGATGTTTGCTTTTTAGCACTGATAGAGGTTATTTGGCTTAAGACATTCGAGGATCATAAAGTATCTCAGTAATTTCTAGTAGTTCATGGATTTTTACCTGTTCTAACGTTGTGGACAATTCTGGTGACTCCGTAACTGTGGTTGTTCCATTTAGATCCGATTGTGCACGGCCCATGATGTTTGCTCTATTGTCATCTTCAGACGGTGGCACTCTGTATGGTTTGCAACCCTATAGTGCAATTGATCGGCCATTTAGTACTGCCAGTGAGACTTTAGGGTCTAAATTAGGTATTTATGTGTTTTCGATGTTTGGGGGTTTTCTATTACTGATAGCATTGTTAGGCTTAAAAAAGCGAGGAACACAAAGTATCTTAGCCAGCTCTAGGCCAGGGATATGTACATGATTTTAACACTACTTCAAATGTATCGTTGCCGAACTGATTGAATCAATATCAAAGTGTAGAATACTCACCTCGTTAGTTCCGTAGTCTCCTCCGGTGACAATGCCGTGATGTTTAAAGTATCTCCAGGCTTGGATTGGCCACCCGCCTAAACATTGAAAACCGCAATAATAACAACAGAAGGTCAATTGTTCAGCCGAAAGCGATAGGTTGAATTTTCCATCGGTTGCTATGCATAAGCGGTCGGAAAAAGCGCTCGTAGTCGACATTGCCTATACACGGTAAATGCAACAAAATTATAAACTCATCCTCCTACGTACGGTACTCGAGATCGACAATGTGGAAGTGCAATTTCGCACATAGGTGAACACAACTGTATCTTTTTTATCAAATAAATTATTACCCAACAGCTGCCGCACTGTCCTTGATCTCGGACGTGACCGACCGGACAGTTCTTCCACTTTTTCCTCGCGTCGAACGTTCGGGGGATGTAACGGATATTGCCATAATTAGGATCTACGGTTTTGACCGGACCGTTCGACGATGATCCAACGCCTTTGGATCCCAACATGCTTTTAAAGTACTCGACAGGAGTGTCCAAAGGGAAATTTTTACCGGCCTAAAATCAATTCGACAACAAATTACAGTTTCTACAGCTATGTTATTTTATACCAAACCCTCTATTCTTTCGCACAACGTCACATCCTTTGATTCTTAGTCATTAAGAACTAAAAACTACATATTATTAAATAATCTGTGTCATTATTAAGGCAATTCACGATTGAAAATGTAACCTTTATTTATTGTAAACTCACTAGTTTCACAAATGTCTACTAATACTTTGCCATAGAACCCACCCCGCAGACTAAAGTGAAAGTGGAATAGAGATATATTAACCGACTAGAGGTGTGGTCAACGGATCGCTCCCTCATCAAGACATTCAAGTATACGTCTTTATTATACTAACCATATTGTATAGATTGTAAATATTATCTAAATAAATAAAAAATTAAAAATGAATGCTTCAATTCTTGGTGTATAAATGTAATTTAATCACGGATTAATAAATTAATATATAATGGGATTTCCGGTAAACATTTTATTTTAAAATTTAATTAAATAGAATTGTACTTAAATCATTTTTTACTTTAATCCTCAGTGGACGAAAAAATAGTAAACAGCAAATATGCTGCCTTTTTTAAAATCTTACACACAATGCCGTCAATCATTTACAATGTGATCACTTTTTTCATACATTATGTTCTTAACTTTTATCCCCTCCCCAACATAGTTATTTTGATAACAACTTTTAAAACTTAAATAGAAAGCCACGAATTTCATTAACTTTTTAAATAGAAAATAATGTTCTAAAAATGTTGACTGGTCAATAACCAGTATTGGACAACTATTTTTAAAGTTATTGAAGTTTAGGGCAGGATAAAAAGTGGAATGTACATTATTCTCAATTTAAAAAGCTAATGGAACGCTACCATTTAATAATTACAAATTAAAAATCGCTATCAAAAAACTAAGTTGGATGTGGGTTAAAAACAAATAAAATTGTGAAAAATTAAGATCACGAGACCATGAGATATTGAGTGGTTCACAGTAAAATGATCACCTTGTAGACATTTGATTAAATAAATTTGGGGGTCTTATCACTAAAATTTCATGTGTTTTCAAATCTTTCAAAATTAATTTAGTAATATATTCACCAATTATTAAGTACCTTTAATAGGACTCAAAAGTAAAAAATAAAAACCAACTATTTAAAAAACAGAGTTTTCTAAAAAATAACTAAAAAGTAAAAAAAAAACAATAATTTTACTATAAGTACAATTTATCAATCAATTATTGTAGCACATTTTATTTAAAATGTCAATTATTTTAAAAACAACCGAAAATTAACAATAGTTTTAAATAATGTTAAACATCTTTAATTTTGACAAAAAAAAAGCGTGGGCCCTAGCAAAGAACAAATTTATTGAGTTAAGTGTTATTAAATGTATGTGTGCCACACTAAAAATTTCAAATTAAAATTATAGGCTTATATATCCGTTATGGACCACTTCACAGGAGAACAATCTCTCGAGCTGATTGTAAAACTACTTTGAATTTGTTTGTCCTCTTTACCGTTTCAAATTAATTTCTAAGTAATATTTGTATTATAGTGATAGGGAACGAAAAATTAGATATAAAGTTTTTGACATTTATTTTGTTTGTCAACGTAGGTAAATAATACACAAATTTTGGTTCCAAGTACAAGCTCTCGAGTAGATAGTAAAATTAAATTTATTTCGTTATCTTTACCTTTTCAAATTTATTTCTAAGTACTGTGATTATCATTGTGATTAGAAATAGAAGATAATTTTTAAACGTGCGACCCATGTGTTTCATTAAAAGCGTATCAACAAAAGTCCCTAATAAGTGTATGAAATAACATTTCAGATAATGTTTTAATTGTAAGTTTTTTTTAAATTTAAATTTGGTTCAATTTAAGTGTGTGACACATACACTTAATAAATACTTAACTCAATAAATTTGTTGAATAGAGCCCACGCTTTTCTTTTTTGTCAAAATCCCTACTTAGCCAATAACTCACACCTCTCTCAAGGTTTTCTTGTTGGTCCAACGAGTTAGACATTTATTCAAGGTGTGCTAGATGCCTCGGACTACATCCTAGCGTACTTAGTCAATTTTAACCAAAATTCGACTTACACACTTATTCACAGTTGTTACGTTATATTCAGAATTGACCACTTGAAGATTGAGTAATAACGATGGTTCCAAGGACGAGCTCTCGAGCGAATAGTAGACAATATTTAATATTATAATTTATTTTGTTATCTTTACCTTTTCAAATTAACTTTTAAGTACTATGAATATCATAGTGATAGGTAATAGAAGATAATGCGACCTATGTGATTCATGAAAAGCGTGGTGTAAGAAAATCATAAAGGAGTTTTGATATTTATTTGGTTTATCAACGGTTTTTGATAATACTTTACATAATTAACCCATTCATACATTTCTAACTAATTTGACTAGAACATAAAATTACTTTTTGAAGTGTTTACCAAACTGATTTCAAAATGCTTTATCACGTATAGGTTACCACATTAGTGTTTTAGATATTAAATAATTTAGTTAAAACATTTAATTAATACCCAACGAAAATGAAATTTTAACACTTAAACGACATTTTTTTCAAATATTAGTCATTATTCGGAGAAAAAAAACTTAAAACGTTATAAATATAGAAACTTAATATTTTTTACTTTGAAATAAGTTGGCATATTTAAAATAATTGCTAGATTTTTTTCGGCCAAATATTGCTTTTCCTCTAGATAAATAGCGCATTAAATGTTTTTCAGATTACTTTTTATTACAGCTTTAGTATAAGGGTTGTTTATAGCTGTCGAGTGGACACATTACTTATACAGCTAAGGGGTATGTACCACGTTAAAGTTACATATTAATGTGTCTTATATATGATGTGTTCTTAAATAATAAGGGTATTTTATACATGACTGAATTAGTTCTAAGCTTATAATAAATATTACACGATTTAAATCCAACAATCAATAACTGTGGTACAAGTAGGTCAAAAACAGCTGCCATTATGTTAATGCATAGTCTTTAATCTAGTTAGTTAATTTTTTCTATATTCTACTAACGTAAGAACACAGTACAGATAAAATGCTGTAAGTTTCATGGTTAAATCACTATTAGTTTTTTAGTTATGTTCAATTTATTCAAATAATGTTGCTCTGTGCTTAAATAATTGTTTTAAATAATTTACACTAAATAAAAAAATGTTGATTAATTTTTTTCGCGCAGATTAAGAAATACAATTGAAGCATATTACTCACAAATTATACAAATTATTAGTTTATGTGTGAAACCATGTCGTTTTGGCCAGAAACTATGAATAAATATGATCAGCTGTCAACCGTCCATACGTACACGTAGCGCGTAGATACATCTATTGGAATAAACTTTCACTCAATATTTAAATTTTCCAATTTTCCGGGAACCTTTTCTAATTTTTCCTATCTAACCTGTCTTATCTCTAAAGTTGCACCAAATTACACAAAGTGTAAAACATTTAATCAAGGTCAGTTAAGTGGTTTCGGAGTTTATCGCTACCAAACATCGTGACTTGAGATTTATATATATATATAACGATATAAACAATTTTATAAATAAAATCATGTAATAAAGCGGACTGCTCAAATGATTGAGTGGCCTAAAGACTTAACATATTTTTAAACTGTCAATTTTCCTCGTAAATTTGAATACAAATTTAAAAAAATAATATACTAAAAAAAAAAAATACTATTTGTAATATTTCAAATGATTAAAATAATTTTAAACTTTGAATATTTATTATTTTTATTCAAATAAATTTTTGATCGTTGTTATTATAGAGTATGGCTTTAGATATTCAGAAAAATTTCATATATTATTGTATGGAATTTTATTAATACAAATAAGAGTTTTGTTAATGTTACTGTTAAAAAAAATCAAGTGCAACCATTTTTTTCATATTATAAGATTTGATGATACAAATGTGTACCTCAACGTATAAGAAAACTATTTTATTTTAATATTTATATCTTCCAAGAATATGAGTGTCTTACTAAAAATGAGTCATTCGGTATATGTAAATATTTTTTCAAACACTTTTTTCTTTGTTATAGAATACTGTACATTCCGTCGCGCGCTCGAGGTGCCCGGCTGGCCAATCCAGCGGGCAGTAAATATTTTGTTACAGTAAAGAATAGAGATAAGACAATGTCGAATTTGTTTCAGTTAGCCAGGCGTTGGAAAATTGGAAAAGGGGGGAGGGTTATCGTTGCAGTAACCGTCATCAACAGTTATCGACATTGTTTCATCAGATTTGGGAAACTAAACTATGTATCGTGGTTTGTTTCATAATAATCAAAGGTTTGTTTAATTCTGTTATGTTATTTATTTATTTAAAAGACCTTTCAAGTTCTTACCATAATTAAATTAAATAAAAGAATAAATAATGTAATAGTGTAATTGAACAGTAGTAAAAGCGCTAGCTTAACGATTAAGAGGGTATAGAGGATATTTTTTCGACTAGCGGACCTGAGCACTCTGTGCTCTCAAGTTCATGCTTCGGGCTTATCTGGCCATGCACAATATGAATTCCCTAAGTACATACTTCCTGGTAAATTTGATCCCCTCTCTTGTTCTCGCTCTTCAATTTAAACAAATCCACTCCCATACCAGTCCTTGTAATTCTTTCTCAATGCTACGACCTCGCTTCAATCGCCACCATAAAACTCCGAGGTTATACGCCTATTTCGCGTCGCACACAATACACCAATAGTTGTATAATAATTATAAACTATATTACTATAGTGTTTATATTTTGGTATTATCACATATTTAGACTACAATGCAATTAACTTTTGATGAGAATAACATAAGATTTCGGAATACATGATGTGTATATATATATATATATATATATATATTTATTTATTTTAAATGTGTTTAGTATAAAACGGGCACACCGGCTGTTATGGAGTTCTCGATTCCGCACTCGTTGGTGTCTTTTTTGATCTTGAAAGTTCCCTCATCACCCCATGTGGAGTTCCACGAGTTCACCATCAACCAGTATGGTACTTCTTCTTCGACTCCCCAACCGATCAATTTCACGGAGTGTCTCCCCAAGTAAGTAGCGGTTTCCGTCTTCATGTAGACACCTGGGGATGGTTAAATAATGTTCGGGTAAAGCCGCACTACCCCAAATTTGGCTAGTATGATCACATTTTGTATCTTACCAGATTTGTAGTGTATGAAGTCGTCGTATACGTCGAATGACGCTTCGACTGGGCCGTAAGCCACCACGTCATTTTCAATATATTCCGGCATAAGATAGTAAGCGTCTTTGGCTGTAATTATAACAAAAAGTCATAACATTTCTCGGGTTAGTTGGAAAAATGGTCGAGATCAGGAAAATCCTATAAACAATTTTTTTTACTGTATGTGTTGAAGAAAGAGCCCTTGACATGTCCGTAACAATTTCGGTTGCAAGAGTGTCTTTTCACGATCGGGTTTCCGGTACATGAGCTATTTCCTCTTTCGTCAAATGTACAGGGCGGTACTCTGTATGGTTGGCAACCCTATAGTGCGAAATACCGGTCAATCAGTATTGTCAGAGAGCCATAAGGGTCTAGTTTAATCCTAGGTTTCGTTTAATAGTTATTGATGTATTCTACCGCAAACGTATAGAGTAATGTTAATCAGCAACCACGATGGTTTGGACAGAGTGGTATGCTCTACCTTTACCTCCAAAAAAGGCATACATTCAATTATGTCCCAATTGAGTAGTTATAACGATAAAGCATATGCATCTATACCACTCCTATATGAAGTTATCGATTGTATTTGGATTTTTGTTACAGTGGCATCAACGGTATAAGACTCCCGAGGACATGAGACTTGGTTGGGTTCGATTAAGTTAACGGTTGGAGTGGTACGATCAAACGAAATTCGTTGAAGGATTTAGTATAGATCACTACTCCAAAAGTCACATTGCCGCACCGATTGATTCAGTGTCCAAAACGTCGATTACTTACCTCATTTGTGCCGTAGTCTCCTCCGGTGACAATGCTCTTATCATTGAAGTATAACCAGGCCTTAATTGGTCGCCCACCATTACATCCATCGCCACATGAACGACAACAGAATGTCACATGTTCGGCTGAAAGACTTTCGTTGAATTTCCCATTGGTGGCTATGCATAAGCGGTCGGATAAAGCGCTTGAGGTAGACAATGCCTATGTACAGTATACGCAACAAATATATCCTTATGAGTACTGTACTACAAAAATGTACACCAATATAGTTTTTATCAACTAAATTATTACCCAACTGCTGTCGCAGTATCCTTGATCGCGGACGTGACCGATTGTTTGACATTGATTCCAATGGTTTCTCGCGTCGAACGATTGATAAACGTCAGGAAAGTTGTTATAATTCGGATCTTTCCTTTTGTACGGACCGTCCGACCATTTTCCATTGTTTTTGGATCCCAAAATACTCTTAAAGTACTCTGCGGGAGTGTTTGAAGGGAAATTTTTACCAGCCTAAAATTAATACGATACAAATTACGACCATGTATTACACAAGTGTTAAAATATCCTAACCCACTCCTATCCTCGTTCACATAACTTGACATCCTTGGATTAAAAAAAATTGACGTGTAATGGTTTTTGTTAATATGTAACAAAGTACATTTTTGTTTATAAATATTTTAACTTTTATTTTATAATAAAATTATACACGATAGAAAATGATAAAACTTTTATTTATTTAAAAATAGTTTTTATGACGTGTTCATTTTAGACACAACAGTAAAATTTAATTTTGAAAATAGTATTCTAATTTGAAATGTATTTTTTAAAAATATAAACTAATTATTAGTCACAAATTTTAAACGTACCTACTTAAAGGAGACGGAAGAAGCTATTTCTGAATAGTTGGCAAAAATTGATCTGGTAGCCATTTTTAATATAACGACTAATCTTAAGGTTAAAAAATATTATGTTTTTCTAGTTATAAAACTTTTAAAGTTATTTTTATTTGAGTTATGATGAAAGTGTGATAAAAAATTACTTTCGTAGAAGTCATTTTCTGGCGTGTCTGTTGGAAGGATTTCAATCTTTTGTTTTTTTTATGTGAAGCCTATCTTTTTTATAGAGGCTTAAAGACCGATTTTTGATTTAGCAATTAAAAAATTACTTAAGAGTTATTAGAAAAAACTACGATAAAGAAAAAATATGAATATGTATAATATTTGTTGAAAACAAAAATAACTAATCACTAATCAGCTTCTTAGCCCCCATAGGGAAGATGTTAAACTATATAACAAAAACAAACTGTTGAGATCAATAATATTTAGTAGTGTATTTATTAAATAATTTACTAGTATACTACAAATCTTCAGAAAATGACTTCTCGTATTAGTCTTTATTAGTAAAACATTTGACGTTTTTTGTTCCCCTTTAGGAGATTACACGTGGTTGGTTTTTTTTACATTTTAGACCAAAAGACCAGTCAGAGTTTTGACAACTTCGGATGGTCCGATTTCAATTCAGTATAGATATACTAGTGCTTTGGCAATTTTACTAGGTTATGTAGGAAACAGATTTTTGATTTTTTCCTTTTTTTTATTAAAAAAATTGAATTTAAATAATTAAAAAAAATTTAAATGTTTAAAAGAAAATAGGCTTTCTGGAGAACATAGTAAAGAAGCCGAAAATTTTCAAATCTCATTAAGAAATTGAAATTGGACCACCGAAATTTTGTCTGGCTTTTTGGTCTAAAATAAACTAAAATGGCTTAGACAAAATAAACCGGTAAATTAATTGACATGTTTAAAATTTATTAAAACTACTTTTTCCTTAAATATTGCTTATATAAAGCTCATTAAAAACAGACCGCATGTAATCCCCTTAACGATAAGAATTATGTATACATAAAAAAAAGTAGATTAATTTATGCTTGACAAAATAAATATGGTCAATGGTTCAATTCATGATTAAGAAATGTAATTTAATCACGGTTAAATGAATAAATATTGTAATTTCGGTTCACGATAAAATTATCACTTTATATAAAATACATTGGACAAAAGCCTTAACCGAATTAACGATTCAACGAAACTAAAAGCTATGGAACAATGTACAGATAAATTTATATAGAACAATATACTAACTTACATTCCATGTTGTTGCTTGATTGTTTACTTGATCAATGTAATCGTCGGTGAGAAAATGTGCTTGCTCAGTTTGATAAATACTGAGAAAAACGACGGACAGCAAAATGAAAACTCTGGACATCGCGAAGATAAAAAAATGTATTAATATATTAATAACAACACAACCTTTGCTCTTATGGATCAAAAGGCATATGAATAATTTCAGATTAAAATTATATGTTTATATAGCCATCATGGACCACTTAAAAATGGAATGTTAAGGATGGGTCGAAGAACGAGCTCTCGAGCCAATAGTAAAATGTAATTTATTTCGTTATCTTTACCTTTTAAAATTCCTTTCTAATGACTGCGAGTACTATAGTGATTGGAAATAGAATATATTATTCACAATGGTTAACTCTAATTGGAATAATATTCATGTACGATATTTGTACTTGAAGCATATTATTTTGCTTCTCAAAAAGATAAGATTTTATCACGCAGAGGACACCACTTTAACGTTTTGAGTATTCATATCAAACGCTTAATTAAAATTATGCGAATATCGAACATAATATAAACATTTCTAAATTAAAATTGTTTACATTCCACAAAATTCGCCAAAACGCGGAGTAAAATAAATTTAAAAGTTGTAATACAACAAAATGTTTTCTTTTTGAACACAAAATGTTTACTCTTTAAAATTAGTCTGCATATTTAAAATGGTTACTAGATAAATTTTTGTCAAATAATGCCTAACCTTTGTTCCTTGATAAATAGCGCGTTTAATACGGGTTGAACAGATTCGTACAGATTGTAGTTTGTTGTGTGGTTCATCCTTGATGAAACACAAGTTTATGTATAGATTTTTAAGAAAATTGTACATGGCCACACTTTAGATCTTCTTTCAGCCTTCTTCGTCGAAAAAAAAATTAATTAAATAACTAGAACCTGTATTTTTTTTTTTAGAAATAATAGCGTTTATTTGGAAAATTTACAATCTATACAAAAATAATGTACAATAAGTAATTATGATGATGGAATAATATATAAGGCGTGAACAAAGATCGTTTCAAGCGTCGAGGTGGGTTGTTTGGTAGGGTCCGAGTGCCGAGCTGGGTGATAAGATTATTTGGATTGTTGGCTAGTTTACTGTGGTACCTGGAGTAGTATAAAGAGGCAACTTCTTTAACAGTTTATTGGTGACAAACCAAGACGCCTTAGTAACAATGTTCAGGCATGTCAACTGAAATGCCTGTATTGTTCCCGGGTGAGATGGCTTAGCTGTACTCCAGAAGAGAACTCCGTAAGACCATATGGGTTGGAGTAGACTTTTATAAAGAGTTAGAAGTGTTGAGTTGAGTAATATACCTTAAAATATTTGGAAATGTTGTTTTCGAATAGCAATTGTTAAATTTCTCTTAATTTAATCACTTAACAAAAGAACAACTTTTTATAGGGGATTTTATGAATAAAACCATTAATACTATAAATATACTTACCTACTGTATATAAAATTGTATACTTGATTTATGAACTATTATTATCTATGTATATAATATCTTATATGTGCTAATTAGCATTTTTTTTTTGTACATATACTTTTGCTTTTTATTTTTATGACCCTTTAAATAACTAGTCAATACAGGGTGATTATTTTAGCGTGAACCACTCAATATATTTAAGGGTTTAATAGGAAAATTAATTTTTTTTTAATAATGTGTTTATAAAATATGATTTAAATTTTTCACCATTTTTTTTTTGTTTTTACCTGACTGCCAACTTAGTATTTTTGATAGCGACTTTTACAAACATGGTAACGCATACAATTCATTCATTTTTTAAATTGAGAATAATTAATAAAAACTTTAGACTGGCCTATAACCAGTTTTGGATGATTATTTTTTAAAGTAATTGAAGTTTAGATGCAGGAGGAAAGAAGAAGTGTAGTATTATTTTTATCTGCGCACACTAATTAATAGTTACCCTAATAAAACAGTGTGGCCAACTTAATTTAGCCAACAAATGAGGGAGTACGAGGTGTGCATTTTGAGTGACGATATAGATTATAAAAAAAAGTAAAAAAATTGTGGACTGATAATATTAGGATTAATATGACAATTGCTAAACAAATCTTGGTACTCTTTTATAAAAAAAAAAATCTAGACCCACTCCTGCCAATCCTGACATGATCAAGAGTATATTTATTGTGAGCAGTACAGTAGTCAGGTAGGTCGCTAGAGTCGTGTAACCTCCCCCCCTCCGTTCTCGATATACTTAATTTGTTTTAAAATTGTTTTATGTATATTGTGTATTGTCAATAGGAAGGTAATTCTCAAAGCTATTTATAAATTATTATATTTTAATCAAATTAACACATCGCCGCCTCAGTAGAACAACGACACAACTGCAAAATTTGGTAAAATGGACTAAATGCTTCAATGTGTTTAGATATAGCGAACGCATAAGATAGAAAACGACGTAACTGTAGTTGTAATATTTTCTAAGCATTCCTATTTCATTAAAATTACATCACATAACATTTTAGTGAAAATAATTTGGTTTTTTGGTTCTCCTGTAAAATTTCAGTTATTGCAGTTGTGTAATACAACATGTGTACATGTACATGACATGCAATTTATAAGTATGGAAAATACTAAATACTATAATTATTAGAAAGAACTGACATTTTCTGATTTTTCTACAGTTTTTCTGTTTTCTCCCTTTTCTTTTCTCTTCTTTTCACCTAAAACCAAAAAAATTGGTTTTTAGATATTAAACGTTACGTACAATTATGATAGTACAACCCAATTTGTGTATTAGATTAGTTTAGGTAATGTTGAGTTTAAATTTAAACAAAGTCTTACCCCAGACTTGATTTTGAATGAAGACACCGGCAAATAAAGATCCAGCGAAGACGAACTGAAAACATAGAATTATGGCTATTGCTACTGGTAAGCTGAACTTTTCCAAGAGCGGGTACAACCAACGGTCATTTTTCAAGTAGGTTACCAGAAGACTACATATTTAAAAAAAACACACTTTAAAAATGTTCGGTAGTAAACTATTAAAAACAATGCTCTTACATGGTTGAGTAAAAAAACATGAAGGAATTAAAGATCGTTATTAGAACTTTCACGGGTAAGAATCTGTGTTTGGTAGTCATTAGTTCAGCGAAAACCAGCGGTAAGATCACAGTGTGCATTCCATGGTTATGCCAAATTGGTATGTAGTTGTCTAATATTTTTGGATAAACGACCTCTCGGTCAATGCCGTAAAAGATCCAAAACGTCACCGATACTAACTGAAATTATATAATATTATTTATAATTTATAAATTTTACAAATATTTAGTTGGACAATTACGAAACATTTGATTTATTTGTTAAGACAAGCTTGTTCTACGGGAAAAAATACTTAGTAAAATAGTAAAACTAATTTAGTTTTGAATAATTATTTTTCTAATTAAAAGCATTTAAAGAAATATACATTAGAAGTATAATATGTCTCAATCTATCTAAATATTTGTTGGTTTTAAATTGGATATTGGGATCGTCTCCGCGATACTGCGAACCTAACCTTCAACGCCTACAATACTTATTTAAGGAAACATAAAAAACAGAATTGAATATTCGTAGAATATATCTCATGAATATATTCATAGAATTAGAAGCATATGATATATATGAAGTTTACGTACAAATGTACAATGAATACTAGATTTGTATTTTGCATAGAAAATATTAAAAAAGTAATATATTATACTTACTATTCCAGTAGGTAGTATAAGAGAGGCAAAGCTAGCAGATAGTAAATTTTGAAATTTGGTTCCCAAGTTAAGCCAATTCGGCCCATTGAGAATTTTCATGATATCGTGAAGTAAACAGCCGCTGAAGTATAACGTTTGCATAATCTAAAGTTTTAAAAAAAATTAATATATTTAAGCAGAACTTTCTTAGTTCCATAAACTTGTATACTGCTGCTATACAAGATCAATTTTTTTCACGATTAATTTAAAAAGTGTTTTTATTTACACGTTTAGGAGTCTAACTCATAATACTTCCAATAATTGATATTGGTCATTTTAGACCTAAGGTACAAACAATATAACAAATAATTTAAATCGGGATGATTTGTTAAAATAATATTTTCAAAAGTGCTTATGCATACCAAATTCCAGTTTGTGAAGAATCTAAATCTGAATTCAACTAAATTTTGGTACATGGGATGCCATTCTCCTTTGTCTTTTGTAGTTGTCAAAAATGAATCTAGTATTTGATTCCAAAAAAATACATACCATCCACATGCTACTGTATGCAGCAAAATCGGGTACACTGACATTTTAATACCTTATAAGCAAATGCAAATAATTATTTGAGGCTGAATTCATCAAATATAAATATTACAAATTCTCTATTATACTACTTTACTATTCCTCAATTATTAACAATAATTTCTATATTTTTATTTTCCGTGTATTTTTGCTAATTCTCATAAACTAATTTTAGTACAATTATTGTACAAATAATTTTGAAATTATAACGTGTTACTTCAAAAATATAGTTTTCATTCGGATCTAAAATAATATTTGTGTTATTAAAATTTATTACCTATTATTTCTAAATTCGAGTAAAGTTTTTGAAATCCTAAAACAATTATGTCTACTAGGAATGGTTCGATTTATTTTCTAGGTTATTGTAAGAACCAATATTTTAGTTATTGTATTTAAAATTTTTTTTAAATCCGATTTAAATTGCTCAAACTTCCCAAATGTTTAGTGTTCATTTTTTTTAAGTAAATGGGTTGTTCGAAAATCGACAGAAACAATAGTTTTTCCAGGGTGGCCGTGAATTTTGTGAAAAACTATACGAGTAATGTAAAAAAGAAAAAATGAAAGGGTGGACAATTATTGTATGAATGAATCAATAATTGCTGAAATTCAATGAATTACAGCAAATAGACAGTATAATGTACAATGTACAAACAAAATAGACACCATAACTTACGATACCGAGTACTTAGATTTTGCGATGAGATTGGAATGTGTTGACACTATGAAGGTAAACGGACTAATGCCATAGGCGATGTTGGTAACAAAAAGTTTATAGTAGGCTCAGTATAGTAGTATAGTATTTGTGAATATGCAAGACAAATGATTTGAAATAAATATGTGAAAATTATTTATATTTTACATAACATAAACAATAGTTTTTTTCCATTTCATTTTTTGCGGAGAGGAGTCTTGATGAAACACAAGTTTGGGTGCAGATTTTTATGATAATTACACATGGTATGGCCCTCTATTTCTCTAGAACGGTATAATTTAAACTCTATTTCCGGTATAATTTAAAGATCTGAAGCCTTAAAACTTCACCTAAAATAAATTCACATATTATCATTGAAAAACCAATAGTCTAACTGTTCCGCACGTACGGTTAATTAAGGTTTTTTTTTATGTTAAACAGGTAAAATAGCGTTGGTAAATATTTTTTTCATATTTATTATGCGATACAGTTGTATGAACATTGTGTTTTTAGTTTAAAATTTAAATGTATTGCGCGGCCGACATTTTAACTACGTCCATAAAATGCAAAAGCACGTCGTATCCGAACGGAAAGCAGACGCCTTTTAGTTCCAACAAATAGTCTTCGTATTTCTGCACGATCCTCATTAGATAATCGTCGGTGGACAGTTGGGCTTCGTCAACGTTGAAACTGAACCGATCGATTGTGTTCGCTCTAACGCCGTTCAAGTCGTTTAGGATCTCGTTGGCCTTGGTCTTGACCCTGGCCGACATGTCTTTAATGTCGTCGATTTCGCGTATGTCCACATAATTGAACTCCGACACAATGGCCACGAGAAATTCGTCTTTGAACGCCGTCAACTCCAACGTGTAATGCATAACGGTGTATATAAAATCTCTGATGTCTGTCAGCGTCTGTTCGTCGATTAGGGCTAATTGTATTCCGTAAATATGCAGCACGACCGAAATGTAGCAATAAAATCTGGCATCTAGAATTTTCACCAACAAGTGTTGGTGGTCCAGGCGACCGTACGGTTCGTGCATCCAAGTGCGACTGTCCAGGAATTCTCTGGTCTTGGCCACCTCGACCTGGTGTCGTTGTTTCGGCCGGCTCCAGTCGACGTTGACTTCGGTTATTTGCCCGAACAACACTTGATATTCGTCGTGCCAAAATCGTTTTAGATACAAAAATTCTACAGTGACCATGGGTGCACGTCTGCTCAACACACGAGTGTTTATAAATGTTCTGGAATTGCGTAGAACGCAAAACATGTCGTTGTACACATTGGGCTTTTTCGAGACCAAATCGTATTCCTTTGCAGCGATGGGAAGGTATTTGTCTTCAATACAACCGTCGATGAATTTCGAAACGTCCGTCTGCAGTTGAACGTCTCCGAACGGGTTTTCCCGGATAAAAGTGTCCATGTCGTCGTATCGGCCGATGGCCAAGATTTTCAAGTAATAACTCCAAAGCCATTTGCCCGTTTCTAAATTTGCCAACAGTAACAAGTGAAGTACGAGTTCGGCTTCCTCTTTAAGATCCGTTAAAGGTTCCTCGTCGTTAACAAAAGGCTCTTGACTTTTCAACTTTTCAACCAAGTGCAATATATTTGATTTTGCAATCACACAAAAACTGCATTTGATGTCTTTAGCTTTTTTCTCTAATTTATCGCGGCTTTTTAATTTTAACTTGTAATCTTCATAAGTTTCCCAAGCGGCTGTTGACAGAATGGTTTGTTCAGCGGGTTTCATACTTATTGGATTTTTGCTGAACGTTATCAAGCTATTTACGGTACGTACATAGTCTGCATTAGACGTTTGAGCGAAAAATCGTACAGGAACAGTCTAAAGAAAGAAAAAAAATTATGTTATTATAAAAAAGTGACTAAAAAAATAATCCAAGTTGGATTTTTCGTTTAGTAACTGATAATAATAATAATTATAAAACTATTGAAAAAAAATGTAGCCTCGAAAAAAATCTATGCATTATCTAATGATTAATTTGTTTTAAAATATCAGAAACTTAATTTTGGTATGATGCAGCTGATAAATATAGTTTATTTTGATTATGCTGTCTGGAAATATATTATTCTAACTTCATATTAGTAGAAACATTTCATTTGTACATATAAACACTCTAAATCGTATGTGTTTTTTCAAAAAAAAAAAACAACATAGTATGTGTATATTATTTATGTATTATGAGGAAGCTTTTCATAATTGCAAAACATTTTAACGTAAAACATAGTTTGTATTTTATCAGTAATTGTATAACCGCTATCTACTGCAATACATAAAATCAGAAAATTCAAACGGAAAAAATATAGTTAAGTATAAATGTGTACCTTGCAACCTCCTGCTGATTCTATTGTTTTTATATTTGACGTTATAGCAAAACAACATGACAAAAAGGCACAAATGTTGCTTATCATTGTTATTTTTTTATATAAGGCTATAATAAGTATTTTGTATAATAATAAGGTATAGTTAATACTAACCTATTATAATCACAAGACGGTAAACGGTAGTTAAAGGTTTTCATAAAAATAGTAAAATAGCAAAAGTAAATAATTTCTATTTTTAACTTTATTCGACAACACTTGTTCATACAAATTTCAATGGTATTCGATATTATATTTTACTATTATTACACTACTTGATTTATGAACTTTGTGTTATTAATTTATAATTGAAATAGCAACGGACGATATAGTGTATTCTTAAAAACTCTAAAATCATATTTTTAGTATATATGTATTCTAATAGTGTATGTTTTCAAAATTATGCACAGCACTTTAAATCTATTGATTGGTGCGAAAAGTCACGAAGGTCCGCTTCAAGACAAATATTTTGAAACTAAGATCTTTTTTACTGTTTTATGAAATATAAAATGTGTATAATTGTGCAGTTGTAACATTTGTATCTTTATAAGATATTTCAAGTAATTATTATTATTTATAATATATGTATTATTATTAAGTATAATCACTATTCAATAGTAGTATAAAATATATAATGAAAATTAATTGCGAAGGAATTGATTTGTTATCCTGGTATTTTATTTTACTTATTTGTTTATAATTTTTTGTATATTAATATTGTATAAATGGTTAATATAAAAGCATTAACCATCTGTTCAATATAAATAGAATACATTAGTTCTTGATATTATTCTGGTTGGTCAACGTGATTTCTTATTTTATATATATTTTCTTAATACATTTGTAGTAATTAGGAACACTCAAGTTTAAAAAGTAACAAATTAGTTGGCTTTACACTTTTATAAATATCGACCTTTTCACTTACATAAAACTCATCATATATTATTTAATATAATAGTTTGGCCAGAAAAGGTAAACCAGAAAAAGTAACTATAGTTTTATAATATTTAAATGTGAATAAAACGCAGTGTAATATGTTATCGTACATATTAATTAAAATATAGCAAATCAAATTATTTTAAAATAGAATTAGATAATTAGAAAGACTGGTGGTAGTATAATACAGAATTTAAAGATTGTAGGTTAGGTGCGGAACAGCTATGCTATTGGTTTTACAATGATGTGAGCTATTTTGTGTTCACTGTAACTTTTTAAATACTGGACCAATCCTTCCGAGTAGCAACTCTATACGTCACAAATATTTTCTCTTTGATATTCTGGGGTAAAGGAGGGAGAGGTAAAAGTTAAAAAAGATCACAGTGATCATTGAAAAACTATAAATAAATGGCTCAATAAAATTGTTTTTAATTATCAATACTCAATAATATATATATAATATATATATATGTGTGTGTAAATTATGGAAAACATATATAGTACAATTTTGGGAAATATTTCCTACATTTAATACTTCTTTATTTAGTGCAATGGAACTTTATTTAAAAATTTTTAGCTGCGTTAAATCTATTCGAATTATCTAAAAAGATATTTTTTATTGAATACAATATTAAAAGAAATGTAATTAACTCAAAATACACAACACAGTTTGTACAAAATATATCACAATTTATATTCATTGTGATGAATATTTTTACACTAAGTTATTAGGTTGATGCCTAATAGACGTATAGTGTTTTTAATTTTATAGCTATAATACTTATTTTAATAGTAAAACACAGACACAGTATATAAATGTATTAAAACAAATGTTTGATACATTTTTACTAGCCCTCATAAAAAAGTCAAGTAAGCGTTTGTTAAGGGTAAACTGTAGGGCATTTCATGAATTTATTAAAACTCTTTGAAATATTGATTTAGAAAACCAATTTAATATATTTTGACTAATTTTAAAATGAAAACATTTCCTAGTTTTAGAACTTATAAATTTATTTTACTCCGCGTTATGGCAAATGTGAAATATTGTATTAATTATTAAGTGTTAATATATTCCATTTTCGTATCGTTTCAATTAATTGTTTTAGCTATACTACTTAATAATTAAACAAAGTGGTGACCTCGATTATATAGTCTTATTTTTTTTAAGTAGCAAACTAATATACTTGAAATACAAACTACAAAATCGTACAAGAATGTAATTACGACTAAAGTTAAGGGTTAACTGTAGTGCATTTCAAGTATTTTGGTCATACTTTTGAAAAATATCTTCTATTACCTATTACTGTGATACTCACAGTCATTAGAAAGGAATTTAAAAAGGTAAAGATAACTAACAATCTTTAATTTTACTCTCAGCTCGAGAGCTCGCCCTTCGACCCATCCTTAACGTTCCATTTTTAAGTGGTCTATGATGGATATATAAGCCTATAATTTAATTTGAAATTATTCATATAGCCTTTTAATCCATAAGAGCAAAGGTTGAGTTGTTATTATTATTTTAATACATTTTTTCATCTTAACTATGTCGAGAGTTTTCATTTTGCTGTCCGTCGTTTGGTTCAGTATTTATCAAACTGAGCAAGCAAATTTTCTGACCGACGATTACATTGATCAAATTAACAATCAAGCAACAACATGGAAGGTAAGTTAGTATATTATTCTAAATTAATTAATCTGTATATTATTCTGTAGCCTTTAGTTTCATTGATTCGGTTAAAACTTTAACTTCGGTTTTAAAAAAAAAACAGCTCAGATCGCATTGGCTGTTCCCTCTTTTTACGTCGGCAGAGTTAAGAATTATTTTTTATTTAAATAAATTAATGATTAAACATTTACTGGACATTTCATTGCTTATTCATTCATTTAACCGTGATTCAATTACATTTTGACATTTAAATTAATTTCTTAACCATGAATTGAGCTATGGTTGGGATTATAATCATAATTATATTGACATCATGCCTGAATCTATTATTTTCTAAGGTATACATAATTCGTATCGTATAATAGGTACAACGTGTGGCACAAATTAATTTATCGTCATTGCATAACTGTACAATACAAATGAGCCATATACATATGTTTCAAATTTAATATTCATTTAGTAAAATAATTCTGATTTTAAGGAGTTTTGTATAGGAAATTTTTTAAATAAAAGTAGTTTTAATAAATTAGGACCATTGAAATGAATTTACCGGTTAATTTGTATAAGCTTCAAAGTATTGTTTTAAATTTATTAACATTTTTTTATGAGTAAAAGTAATTCTGGTTTTTTTAGACCAAAAAGCACAACAAATTTTCGACTACAAGGGTCTCAACATAGAGATTTTGGCTTCTTTACTATGTTATGTGGGAAGCCGATTTTCATTTAAAAATGTTTTTTTAAATAATTGAATTCAATTTGCAATTTTATCACTATTAAGAGCTACCCAGGCCATTTCTAAGGAGTAAAATATAGGCAATTTTTCGAAAAGTCTTAAATTAGAGATTCAAATATAATGTATACTTATTAATACAGTAATGAGGATACTTTGTTGATTGTCATTATTTTTGTCAGACTATCATAAATTGACATTTTTTCCCATCAAAACTGCTTTGCGCGGGAAAAGTATGTGTGGCCAGTATTAACTGTAAATTTACCAAATTGTAGAAAAGAACATTATCCATGGGGTAGTGTTTTAATTTTTTCGTTATCTATACTTAATAATTTTTTATAAGCAAATTAAAAAAAAGAAAAAATATGAATGTTTATTTTTGAATAATTTTGACTGTGCTTAGTTATCAAAAAGCTAAAAACGCTACCCTGTAGATGAAGTTCTTTTCTATCCATTGTGAAAATTGTAGACAGCTATTCTAAGTACCGCCCTCACATTCTTGTCCCCTGTTAAACCATTTTTCGTGGATTTTTGTAGAAATTGGTTGTATTTTGTTGTCAAATTAATTTTAGGCCGGTAAAAATTTGCCTTCGGACACTCCCGCAGAGTACTTTAAGAGCATTTTGGGATTCAGAAACAATGGAAAATGGTCGGACGGTCCATCTAAAGGGAAAGATCCGATTTATGTCAACTTTCCTTATGTTTATCGAGAGTTCGACGCGAGAAACCATTGAAATCAATGTAAAACCATCGGTGAAGTCCGAGACCAAGGACACTGTGACAGCAGTTGGGTAATAATTTGGTTGATAAAAACGACGTAGTAAATATTACCTATTTGTCAAGTTATACTTCAATAGTGTCGTATAATACTTAGTAGGATATATTTGTGATTTTTAACTTTTGTTGAATTTACCGTATATAGGCATTGTCGACAACTAGCTCTTTTTCCGACCGCTTATGCATAGCCACCGATGAGTATTTCAACCAAAGTCTTTCGGCCGAAAAATTGACTTTCTGTTGTAGTTCATGTGGTGATGGATTTAAAGGGGGGGAGCCAATTGAGGCCTGGTTAAGCTTCTATGAAAAGGGCGTTGTCACCGGAGGAGACTACGGCACAAACGAAGTGAGTATTGGACGCTTTTACACTAAATATTGATTTAGTGACACAACTTGACCTTTGAAGTAGAGTTGATGTGTTTGAAATTTTCAAAAAATACTCAAACACCTCCAACGAATTTCGTTTATCGTTCCACTCCAACCGTTAACTAAATTGAACCCAGCAAAAATCTTAATACAATGGAAAACTTTTTTGAAAAAAGTGATAAGATAATAGATGCATAAACTTCGTTTGTTGTTAACAAACTTGTGGGGCACAATTTTTTGAAACATTAATTCGAATTTTTGTAGGTATAGGTAGATTTTACCGCTCTATCCAAACTACTTTGGTTGCTGTTTTACTTCACTCTACAATCATTAGGTTTAGAATACCCCAAAAAATCAATAACTTATAAAAGAAACTTAGACTTTAACTAGACCCTTAAGCTTCTATGACAATACTGACTGATCGGTATTTTCCACTATAGGGTTGCCAACCGTACAGAGTACCACCGTGTACATTTGACGAGAGAGGAAACAACTCGTGCAGCTCACAACGGGTCGAAAAAAATCACTTTTGCTCTCGACAATGTTATGGAGACACCAAGATCAATTACTTCAGGGACTTCGTCCACAGTAATAAAATAATTTAATTGAATTTGTCTGACCTCGACCATTTTTCCAGCTAATCTGAGATATTTTATGACTTTTTCTTAAATTTACAGCCAGAGACTGGTACTACGTAAGGCCCAAATACATTGAAAAAGACGTGGTGGCTTATGGCCCAGTAGAAGCGTCATTCAACGTGTACGACGACTTCATAAACTACAAATCTGGTAAGATATAAAAAGTGATTCTACTAGCCAGTTTGGCGTAGTGCGGCTTTACTTACTTGGGGAGACACTCCGTGAAATTGATCGGTTGGGGAGTCGAAGAAGTATGGTACTTCACCATACTGGTTGATGGTGAACTCGTGAAATTCCACATGGGGTGATAAGGGAATTTTCAAGATCAAAAAAGACACCAACGAGTGCGGAATCGAGAACTCCATGACAGCCGGTGTGCCCGATATTTACTAAACAAATTAAAAATATATATATACATCATTTAATTTAAATACTTTAGTTGAAATATGCGACAATCCTAAAATAAAAACATTATAGTATAATAGTTTATAATTAAAATACTATTGGTGAATTATTTGCGACGCGGTAAAGATGTAAATCAGCAGAGTTTTTTAGTGGTGATTTTAACAAGGTTAGGTCTGACTGGTATGATACTTTTAAATTCAAGTGCGAGAACAAGACAGAGAATGCATATCACCAGGTATGAGGTATATAGAAAAATTTTAGCGTACATGACCAAATAATAGCAAAAGCATAAAACCTAACCTAACCTAACAGAGTGATCATGTCCGTGAGTCGAAGAAATGTTCTCTAAACTTTCTCAAACGATCACTAACAAATATAATGAAACGTCTACAAATTAGTAAGTGTTGAAGTAGTCTAAAAACAGGGATTTGTTTGTGGATAATGCATACTTATAATTAGAATTAGAATTCTAATTGGAATTATGATTCCGATGGTTGAAATAATCAGAATTAAGAAGTGTTCACTAATGATTTTTTTTTATACAGTACGTTATACATCTGTCAATTTTGTTCACCTGTAAAATTGCATAAAAATCTATAATCTAATAAAACTTGTGTATTGAAAGTACCATAACATTTAGGAGATTCGTGGCGGTATTTCTTTTTGATTTCGTCATAATAGTCTTATCGATGTTGGTGTATTATAAAGATTTAATGTCCAATTTATATTCAGAGGCATTTAAACACAATTTAGTTGCCTGTTATTGGTCCATTAAAATTTAATAAACCTTAATGGTTTATCACTTTAATAGTGATTAACTTTTTATGCAACTTAGCATCCTACTTTTAAATTGTAAAACATATAAATAATTGCTCTGTAATTATTAGTAAAAGGATTCTCAAGAACTCTTGAGTAACCATATGGTGTATAGCGTTTACCAATTGGCAGCTCCTTTTTCATACATAATACAATAATGAGGTAATTGTTACTATACTTAAGATACAACATCTCTGTAGCTATGACAGGTGAAAATTTAATATTTGGTTCTGATTCAGAATCTTATAAAATTATTATTATTGTCTCTTTTTTATGAATTTATTTTATACACATTGATAAAGTAAACTGTTATAATTTTACTCTTGTTGGTTTTTTAAATTCTGATATAAACATTCAATTAATATTCAAAAAACGTTAAGCGACTTATGGCTGTATATATATTATATACACATTTTATTAACATTTTTTAGTTTTTATCATTTAGTAGGATGAATTTTTGGTTAGCCATCTAAAAAAATTATCAATATATGGATTTATACCTTTCATGGTTTAGTGGTTAACCTAGATTAACTCTAGACATTTCATTCATGTTTTGGACTCTTGAGTTCCTAAATAACCGTCACAGGGCACACAAACCTATTTTTCTTCCACACTTTTAAACTTCCAATAACCAACAGACGTCAGAACTTAAGTATCAAACAAGTATCAAAGTAACTTTAATGCTCCATACCGCGTATACCTCTGATGGTTAAATTCTAAACGTAGAGTACGTCATTACCGAATACTGCCATAGACGGTGATTTCTGAATAAATAAGAATTTTAATTCAACCAATATCTAGACATATAATAATCATTTATACTACTTTTAAACGAATTTTATTTCACATAGGTACACTATAACAGACATTTAGTTTTAATATATATTATTTACATGTTTTAACTGCATTCTACAAAACTTGATGTACTATGCACAAAAAATTCAATATTCAAACAAATTATTATTATAAATTTAGCATGTAATACACTTTTAAACTTTTTGATATGCTAAATGTTTTAAGTACACTCAGCAACTAAATGGCTTCTCGCCAGTGTGTTTACGTTTGTGCATTTTAAGAGTTCCAGATTGTGTAAAGGTCACCAAGCAATCTTCGCATTGAAAAGGCCTTTCACCAGGGTGGGTTCTTTTGTGTTTTTTAAGATTACCAAGAAGAGCAAATGTTTTTAGTCACATTTCGCACTGAAAAGGCTTCTCTCCAGTGTGTGTCCTTTTGTGTGTTTAAGACTTCCAGATTCTGAAAAAGTCACCAAGCATACTTCACACTGAAAAGGCTTCTCATCAGTACGGGTCCTTTTGTGCCTTATAAGACTATAAGATTCTGAAAATGTTTTCAAGCATTCTTCGCATTGAAAAGTCCTTTCATCAGTGTGTGTCCTTTTGTGTGTTTTGAGATTACCAGATTGTGCAAATACCTTAAAGCGCATATCACACTGAAAAGGTTTATTTCAAATATGTACAGCAAACATTTTTTTACTATAAACGTTTACAAAACAAAAATACACATTCTATACAAGTACAGAACACAGTTATTAGTCGTCTTGGATAGTTTGTCCAGTTTATAGTTTATACTAGATATAAGTTAAACCCGTTTTATTTTGCTATTTAAAAGCCAGTTATTACTTATTTTCGATATTCACAAAACCATTAAATTAGTTTTTGTTTTCAAATAAAAACTATTTTGATTGAAGTTTGATAAGGATAAAAATCTTTTATTTGATAATATCACTGTTGTAGTACTTGGTTATTTTATTTATTGGGTAGATCGATTACAGTATTCTTCTAGCAATTTAAGATTTTTATAGTGGACGTCTATGTATCGCGATAACGCATAATACTCAATATTAGGTAATATCGTCATCAATTATTTTAGAGGGAAATATAACCTCATATTATGAAAAGTTAAAAAAAAAATAATAACCACTAATTAGTTAACACTGAGACAACAACTAAAATACACCAATGATAATATATAGTTTTTATTATATTTTTGTTAAATATTATGGCTATGGCATTAGCCTCTAATACAATATCACCATGCAAAGTGTTAATGCAGTGTAACATCATTTACTAAGAGTACACACCGACTGATCCGTTTAACGTGAGACAACTAATATCTCTTATAATACTTAAATGCTCCTATTTATATATATATATATATATAATATATAAATATATATATATTAATATATTTATTTATTAATTGCTGTACATATTAAAATGACTTGTTTAGCAAAGTGTCCAAGTGGTATTATAAGTAGTAGTAGGAATTTCATTTACTGTCAATTCTAGCAATAGCCGGCACAGCATCCATATAATACACGTGACGTGGCCATAATTAGGTAAGCTATTAAAGTACATCATGTCTCAAACTTCAATTATTTCCGGGCATGTCAAGTTGAGTCATAATTAAACCTACAATTGAGAATTTAATTAAAAACCAAAAGTTGTATACTTGTCTGGTATAATGACAAAGATGTGTTTTTGACTAGCCCGCAATACGACTGAATGTCAAGAAAGAAGTTGATCATTAAATATAATTTGGATATATTGTCTTGAAAAACTTCATCAACTCTTAAAACTCGAAATAATAAAAATTTAAACTGTTTACGGCCATGTTATAAGTTATTATTAAATTTAAATTTGAGCATAAAAGCTCGAATATTTTTGGCTTTTATGCTCAAATTTAGATTTCTTTACTTAAACATTTTTTTCAGAAATTAAAATTCTATCTAAAAAATAGCTATCTATAATTTAACTAAAATGCGAACATTATGTTGTTATCAAACTAAGTTGCCACAGCCATAAAATTCCCACATTCGCAAATATTAAACCAACAGTTTTCTAATATTAAAATATATTACTATAAGGTTTTTATTTCGAGGTTGTCATATATTAGGAATACAAAACAAATTATGTGAATACAGAGTTCTGGCAACATGATTAAAATTTTTTTTTTTTTTAATGAGTAAGGGGCACACCGCCTGTCACCGAGTCTTCGATTCCACACTCGTTGGTGCCTCTTCGGATCTTGAACGTCCCCTTATCACCCCAGTGGGAATTCCACGAGTTGACCATCAACCAATAAGGTACTCCTCCTTCTTCTCCCCAACCGATCAATTTAACGGAATGGCCTCCTCCCATGTAAATAGCGTGTTCCGTCTTCACGTAGACGCCTACGGGTAGTAAATAAGATGTTTGGGTAAAGCCGTTTTCCGCCAGAAAGGCGAGTAGATCTACATTATGTATTTTACCTGATTTGTAGTTCAAAAAGTCATCGTATACCAAAAATGATGCTTCGACTGGACCGTAAGCCAACACGTCCTTTTGAATCATTTCAGCTGTAAGGTGGTACGCGTTTCGGGCTGTAATAATAAGAAAAAGCCAAATAATAGTTAGATGGAAAAAGAGTAGAGATCAGGCAAGTCCTCCAATTAAAATGTTTTATTACTGTAGACGTGGTCGTTGCGGTAATCAATGGTGGTGTTCCCGTAACACTGTCGTTTGCAGCTGTGTCGTTTTTCAATCTGGCGTCCTCTGCAAGAGTTGTGTCCTTCGTCGTCTACTACACATGGCTCTACTCTGTATGGTTGGCAACCCTATTATACAAAAGACCGTTCATTTAGTATTGTCAGTGAGGTTTTAGGGTCTAGGTTCCGTTTACAAGCGTAGTGAAAGATTCCCAAGTTCATGCGCGGATTGGTTGCGTTCGATTAGGCTCAAAACAAGTTGATTGATTAATGCAATGTCGAAACAACGAATACTTACTTCGTTGCTGTCGTAGTCCCCTCCGGTGACAATGCCAAAATATTTGAAGTATCTCCAGGCCATGATTGGATACCCGCCATAACATCCGAAACCGCACAAGTAACAACAGAAAGTCAATTTTTCCGCGGAAATCAGTTGGTTGAATTTCCCATCGGTGGCTATGCATAGGCGGTCGGAAAAAGCGCTGGTGGTCGACAATGCCTATAAATTGTAATTGCAATAAAGATTGATTCCACAAATATATACTGCTATGTACTGTACTTGAGATAGGCTATGTTGAAGTGAGCTTGGTACATAAAACGATATTATTGCATTATAAAATAAATTATTACCCAACAGCTGCCGCACATTCCTTGGTCTCGGACGTGACCGATCGTTTTACATTGACTCCACTTATTTCTCGCGTCGAACGTTTCAGGAATGGTGAAGTTGTTATAATTCGGATCTTCGGTTTTCAACGGACCATTTGACGATTTTTCTACTCCTTTGGATCCCAACATGCTCTTAAAGTACTCGACGGAAATGTTTGAAGGAAAATTTTTACCGGCCTAAAATTAAAACGATACTAATGACGATCATGTACTACACAAGTGTTCAAATATTCTAGTTCCAAGTTTCCACAGAAGTGTTATATTATTACAAACTTTAACTGAACTGGAAATTTTTTTAATTAAATTCTAAATCGGTAAAACTTAAATTACATATCAGTTTCCCAAAAGTTTGAGTTCAATTTGATTTTCGCTAATTTGATGGATATTAATTATTATTAAATCATAAACTCTATCAATTCTAGTGAACGCAAAAATACGCAAAGATCCTACATTAGTCGATGCAAATAAATGTCGGCATACTCATTAAAAAACTGCCTGCCCATCAAAATATTTTTAAAAAAAACCATTTCCTACATAAAAGAGTTTTTTTAAAACCTCAAACACGTTGCCGTCCATCATTTATAAAATACATTAGAGGAAAGTTTTAACCGAATTACGAATCAACGAAACTAAAAGCTACGGAATAATTTACAGATTAAATAATTTAGAATATTATAATAACTTACCTTCCATGTCGTTGCTTCATTATTTATTTGATTGATGTAATCGTCGGTCAGAAAATATGCTTGTTCAGTTTGATAAATACTGACCAAAACGATGGACAGCAAAATAAAAACTCTGGACATGGTTAAGATGAATAAATGTGTTAAAATAATAATAACAATACTACCTTTGCTCTTATTGATCAGAAGGCATATGGATAATTTAAAATTATATGCTTATATACCCATCATGGACCACTTGAAAATTAAGTGCTTACGATTTTTCGAAGAACGAGCTTGACAGCTGATAGTGAAATTATTTTGAATTTATTTGTCATCTTTACCTTTTCAAATTTATTTCTAAGTAGAGTATGTATCATATTGATAGGAATAGAAGATTAGGTAATAGGTTTTGATATTTTTATTATTTGTCAACTTAGATATTAATAACACATTGTATAAAGAAAATCTCGTACTTAAATTTCAAGTTAATTTGATTAAAATGTAACGTCACTTTCTGAAGTGTCTATCAAACCTATTACAATATGCTTTATCACGTCGAAGTCACCAATTTAGAATTTTGGATATTCAAAAAATACGGTTATTTAAAACAATACAAAAAAGCCATTTTGGTGACAAAAAAACACTTTCTATGTGACAATTATAGGAAAGTATAGGTAATTTGGCTGATTCGATTTCAACTACATGTATTAATTTTTCATATTTTTGCTTTTTTAATGTAAAATATCTGTGTTTTATTATTGCCAAAAATTTAGACTAGTTCTATTTTAATCCAAACACTGAATTGTTTATGTGAAAATCGGTTCCCAAAAAATAGAATCCAATAATTTCTTACTTTTTTTATAGAATTGAAATCGGACCAGCCAAATTCTTTAACTTTGTCACAGCGAAAGCGTTTTTTGGTCACCAAAATTACTTTAACTGATCGAAAAAAGTTAAAAGTAATCACTGAAAATAATGAAAATTAACCTGAAATTAAACTGACATGGTCGAAGTTTATCAAAACCACTTTTTTCTTTGATATTGCTTATGTAGAGCATAATATACATTTTTCTCAAAAAAAAAAAATAAATAAATTGACAAGTCTAAAGGTCAAAAACACATCCTCGTCATAATGTCAAACAAGTATACACCTTTTTAATTAAATTTACTTTACAGAAGTAAAACGAGCAAATCCAATGGCAATAATTGCCAGTTAAATGTGACGCCGTTATTTCATCTACAAAATATAAACTTACCAAAATTATTTATTTGTTTCATTTAATTTAAGTGTTTTAACTATATTTTTTAGTATCCAAAATACTAAAGTGGTGACCTAGAAGTGAGAATGCCTTTTGAAATCGCTTCAGGAGACACTTCAGAATGTGACTTCACGTTTCAATCAAATTAGGTCAAAGTTTATGGGTTATTCTTTACACATAGTATTATCAATATACATTGACAAACAATATAAATATCAAAAACCTTTTACCCCTCAAGGGGTGGAAACTTTTTCTTAATTTCTCTTATTCGAGCAGGGTTTGAGGTAACTGTAGTGCATTTCAGGTATGTTTGTTAAAACAATAATATGATGTATCGAAAAAAAAGTTGTATTTGTATTACTATTTTATTAAATTTCAATTTCGTGTATTTAATTTTATGTAGCAAAAGAATACATATATTATAATTAAAGACATAATTTCAACAAGCTTTTTATGAAACACATAGGTCGCAAGTTTAAAAATGATATTCTATTCCCTATCACTATGACACATACATTACTTAGAAATTAATTTGAAAAGGTAAAGATGACAAATAAATTCAAAATAATTTTATTATCAGCGGTCGACCTCGTTCTTCGTAAAAACGTTAACACTCAATTTTTGAGTGGTTTACGATGGATATATAAACCTATAGTTTTAATTTGAAATTATTCATATGCCTTCTGATCAATGAGAGCAAAGGTTGAGTTGTTATTATTATCTTAATATATTATTCAATCTTAACCATGTCGAGAGTTTTTATTTTGCTGTCCGTCGTTTTGTTCAGTATTTATCAAACTGAACAAGCACATTTTCTGACCGACGATTACATTAATCAAATCAACAATGAAGCAACAACATGGAAGGTAAGTAATTAAAATATTCTATATTAATTAATCTGTACATTATTCTGTACCTTCTAGTTTCATTCACTCGGTGAAAACTTTCCTCCAATGTATTTTATATATGATAGACGGCAATGTGTTTGAGGTTTTGAAAAAGCAGCTCAGATCGTATTGGCTGTTTTCTTTTTTCACGTCGATTAGGCAGCAGAGTTAAAAACTATTCGAATACAGTTTAATAAAATTAAATTCATGAATAAAATGTTTACTGGAAATTTCATTATTTGTTCGTTCATTTAACCATAATTAAATTACATTTTTTAATCATAAATTGAAACCATTAATCATAATTATTTTGTCAATCATCAATAAATCTATTATTTGTATTAAGTGTGAATAATTTTTTTCGTTAAGGGGAATTCATGCGGTCTGTTTTTAAAGAGCTCTCTATAGTTTATTTTTTTATAGATTTTTCTGAAACTTTAACAAATTTTTTATTGCTAAAAAGTGAGTATGAGGAATATTTATGCAGTATATTTTTAAAAAGTTTTGATAGGCAATATTTAAGAAAAAAGAGGTTTTAATAAATTAAGTAAATTTACCACATGCAATACCCTTAATGAACAACTAAATTAGTTTTTACTGTCAATATAAAATTATCACGTCATAATAACTAGTATTTAATAAATATGTTACATTTTAAATCGTAAATAATTTTAGCTAAAATAAATGCTACAATATATTTTATCAAAAATGTATTTATTTTAGGCCGGTAAAAATTTCCCTTCGGATACTTCCGTCGAGTACTTAAAAAGCATGTTGGGATCCAAAGCAGTAGAAAAATCGTCAAACGGTCCGTTAAAAACCGAAGATCCGAATTATGACAATTTGCACATTCCTGAAACGTTCGATGCGAGAAAAAGGTGGAGACGCTGTCAAACGATCGGCCACGTCCGAGATCAAGGAATGTGCGGCAGCTGTTGGGTAATAATTTGTTTTATAAAAACCATATGGGAACATTGTTTTATGTATCAAGTGGCACTTCAACATTGTCGAGCTCAAGTGCAATACATAGCAGCATATATTTGTGATTTTAATGTTTATTGCAATTACCGTACATAGGCACACTCGACCACCAGCGCTTTTTCCGATCGCCTATGCATAGCCACCGATGGGAAATTCAACCAACTGATTTCCGCTGAAAAATTGACTTTCTGTTGTTACTTGTGCGGTTTTGGATGTTTTGGCGGGTGGCCAATCATGGCCTGGAGATACTTCAAATATTTTGGCATTGTCACCGGAGGAGACTACGGCAGCAACGAAGTAAGTATTCGACGTTTCGGCATTGAATCAATCAATGAGGCAACGAGACCTTTGGAGTAGGGTCTTAATCAGATATAGTTACTAAATACTAAATGTCCCTCACTTATTTTGAATCTAACAGCCGCCATTAATATTAAAAAGCACAAGGTCAAAGGTGTGTGATAAGTCCTTAAAAAATAACTTGAACTCCTTCAACGTATTTCATGTGAGATTCGTTTCGCTCCTCTCCGATCATTAACCTTATCAAATCTAACCTATCCACCTGTCCTTGGGAATCTTTCACTATTCTTGCTAATACTTATAAACGAAACCTAGACCCTACAGCCTCACTGACAATACTGTCTGACCGGTCTTTTTCACTATAGGGCTGCCAACCATACGGTGTACAGCCATGTATAGTTGACGAGACAGGAAACAACACGTGCAGTGAACGACCGTTTGAAAAACGACACAAATGCAAACGAGAGTGTTACGGAAATACCACCATTGATTACCACAAAGACCACGTCTACAGTAATAAAATTTTTTAATTTGAAGATTTTCCTCATCTCTAATCTTTTTCCATTTAACCCGAGAAATTGTTTGGTTTTTTTTTAATATAATTACAGCCCAAAACGCGTACCACCTTAAAGCTGATATTATTCAAAAGGACGTGTTGGTTTACGGCCCAATCGAAACGTCTTTTTTGGTGTTCGACGACTTCATGAACTACAAATCTGGTAAGATACATAATGTAATTCTACTAACCTTTCTGGCGGAAAACGGCTTTACCTAACATTTTTTAACTACCCGCAGGCGTCTACGTGGTGACAGAAAACGCTACTTACTTGGGAGCAGGACATTCCGTGAAATTGATCGGTTGGGGAGAAGAAGGAGGAGTACCTTATTGGTTGATGGTCAACTCGTGGAATACTAACTGGGGTGATATGGGAACGTTCAAGATCCGGAGAGGCACCAACGAGTGCGGAATCGAAGATCATGCGACAGCCGGTGTGCCCTTTATTAAATAAAAAAAAAATTATAAATTATGTAGTCCGAAATCTGTAGTTACCTATATAACTTTATTGTATTCTTCTTATTGTATTACTGTGACAATCTCGAAATAAACACATTGTAGTAATATAGTTTAAAATTAGAAAGCTATTGGTTTATTTATTGCGACGCAAAAAAGGTGTTAATCAGCTCATTTATTGTTTTGTATTTTTATTAAAATACCAAACTTCCACTCAAACAACTTTTATACTATATTAGTGTACACTGTACAGTATTACAACAGATTCTTGTTCATACAAATTGCAATGGGTTTCGATATTTTATTTTACTATTATTATAGTACAACTTTATTTATGAACTTTGTGTTATTAATTACAAATTGAAATAGCAGCGGACGATGTAGCCTATTTTTTAGAACTCTGAAATCATATTATGTTTAGTATGTATATATATAAATACTCTAAAAGTTGTTTTCAAAATTATTCGCAGCATTTTAAAAGTTATTAAATGGTGCGATAAGTCAGGAAAATCCGCTTTAAGGCAACTATTTAATAATATATTTGTGTAAGACAGATATTATTTTTAAACTAAGTTCTTTTTTAATTCAGATATTAAATTGACTGGTAAAATATACAATATAATTAATTAGATACAAGCTGTCTCGACCTACCTGGGATTTAGTTTGCCAGGGCTGAGTAAAATAATTACAAATAAGATAAATAAAAGTCAGTTCTCCAGGCTGTATATTGTAAAGCTTTAGCATACCCCGTCTCGGCTTTTTTTTGGATTTACATATGTACTGCCCTCCTAAGCAAAAATGCCGTAATTCAAAAACATTTTTTTTGCCTGTTCCTTTAATCATCACCTACCGTTCTCTCGAGTCCAGTGGTTACCATGGTTACAAACCAAGTGTTTATTTTGGGTTAGCAATGGACATTTTTTCGTATTTAAAGTACAAAATTCGTGTTTGAGGGCACCCTTAGGGGTAGAATTTTCGAAAAGTACTATGCTTAATACCTTTGAGGGAGTGTACTCAACAACTTCCTAAAGTTTCATGGCGATCGGATGAATGGTGTAGTAATGCATAAAGGACAGACAAACAGACAGACATACATTTTTATATATGTAGATTTAAAAAAATTATTATTATTTACTATATAAGTAATATTATTAAGTATAACCTATATTCAATGGTAAAATAAAATATTTAATGAAAATTCATTGTGTTGCTATTGATATGTTATCCTGGTATTTTGTTTTTTTTTATTTGTATATGATTTCTTATATTTGAATTGAACAAATGGTTAATATATAAGCATTAAACATCTGGTCAATATACCTAATTAGAACATATTGGATTTTTAAATTTTTCTGGCTTGACAACGTGATCTCTTATTTTATTTATTTTGCCTTAATACGCTGGTAGTAATTAGCAACACTTCTATAAATTAACGAATTATTTTAGTATACGCTTTTATCGATTTCGACCATTTTACTAATTTTAACATACATACATTTCATCATATACAAAATAGTCAAATGACCAGAATAGACAAACCAGAAAAAGTAAATTTAGTTGTATAATATTTTAAAACCATCGCCATCACCAGACGGTAATGATATAGTAATGCTTGACTGGCAACCTTCGACATACAATGATGATGACGAACCGATGGACTGGGAGCCATTGCCAGTCGGTGATGATGTAGTAATGATTGACTGGCAACCTTCGACGTACAATGATGATGACGAACCGATGGACTGGCAGCCATTGTCAGTCGATAATGATGTAGTAATGATTGACTGGCAACCTTCGACGTACAATGATGATGACGAACCGATGGACTGGGAGCCATTGTCAGTCTGTAATGATATAGTAATAATTGACTGGCTACCTTCCCGTCGCCACCGGAAGCGACTTTATCACTCTCTCTGCTCATCACCAGCAACAATGGGGCGCGTATGCTAGTTGTAGGCTGCGCATGGGACCGTGATCTGATCGTCAAAGCTTTGCTACCACGTTGGATAAATATTGTTTTCTATCGAATTGCTATGTTACCAGAATAGATAATAATTTATACTCAAATAAAAAAAATTATTTTTCGATACATTAGTGCAGTGATGAATAAAAAAAAATATATATACATGTATATATATTTAGATTAAATAAGAGAACATTATAAAATGCTAATATGCTCAGTTAAACAATTAAGGATCATACAGTAACAGAAGTATGAAATTAAATAAATTAAGATAGCATTTCCCGCTGAACTACACCTATAAAATCCAAAAACATATTGAAGTCGAACGTTGTGATGCCTTTAAATTCGTATAGTCTTCAAAATCCTTTAATGATTCTTGTTATCAAAACGTTGGTACACAGTGAACGTTATCTTTTTAACTGAGCCAATCGATTCCGCTTTTACTAGCACCGTTCAAATCGTGGCACCCTCTTAAGCAGGGCAATATGAAAGGAGATCAAATACAAAGAACCTTTAATGGACCAAATACCTAAAAAAGTCATGTCTCAAAAAGACTAGAACAGGCCGGGCATATATATATCAAGATAAAGATAGTTTAATAAGATAAGTACTATTTTCTAAGCTAAATAAAACATGCCCCCGAAGAAGACCACATCAGGGATGGCTAGATCTAGTAAAGAGAGATTGAACTCAGTTAGGAGAAACGGAAACAATTGAGGATGCAGTTAACAGGGAGATGAGGAGGAATTTGGTAGAAGCAGCAAAAGACCATAATGACCTGCAAAAACTTGTAAAAAAAGCTGGTGGACGTAAATAATTAACACATTGAGGTTATATTCAGTTCCCTCTCCCTCTCACATTTTTTTATATTAATTTATGTGAATACTTGTATAGTATCGTAATGTACAAGTTGTATTATTATTTTCATCGATTATCAGATTTAGTTTCTAGTCACGGACTAATAGAATTCTCAAAACACCACCAAATACCTCTGCATTTTTAGTCTTTTTTCAGTTCGCAAATAACAAGTTTACTAATTAAAAATTATTTTACTATATTTTACTTCGGGATTGTCGCGTGTTAAGAATACAATACAGGTTATATAACTAAAGATTTATAGACAGCACGATTTTTAATTTTTGTTTTTATTAAGTAAACGGCACACCACCTGTCACCGAGTCTTCGATTCTGCACTCGTTGGTATTCCTTCGGATCTTGAAAATTCCCTTATCACCCCAGTCAAGATTCCACGAGTTCACCATCAACCAGTAAGGTACATCCCAATCGTAACCCCAACCGATCAATTTCACGGAGTGTCCTCCCAAATAAGTAGCGTTTTCCGTCTTCACGTAGACGCCTGCGGGTAGTTAATGATGTATGGGTAGAGTCGCAATTCTACAAATTGGTTAGTTGAATCACATTTTATAGCTTACCAGATTCGTAGCTCATGAAGTCGTCGTACACGTCGATAGACGCTACGACTGGGCCGTAAGCCATCACGTCCTTTTGAATCATCGCAGCCGTAAGGTGGTACGCGTCTCTGGCTGTAATAATAAAACAAAAATATAAAATTGTTTGGTTTAGCTGAAAAAAGATTAGAGATGAGGCAAATTCTCCAATTAAAATATTTTATTACTGTAGAAGTGGTCGTTGTGGTAATCAATGGTGGTGTTACCGTAACATTTTCGTCTGCACCTGTGTGGTTTTTCAATATGTGCAGCACTGCACGTGTTATTTCCAGTCTCGTCAACTGAACATGGCTGTACTTTGTATGGTTGGCAACCCTAGTGCAAAATACCGGTCTGTCAGTATTATCAGTAATGGTTCCGTTTATAAGAACTAGCAAAATTAGTGAAATATTCCTAAGGACATGCGGTTTGGTTGGGTTCGATTAGGTGAATGATTGGAAATGAACGACCAAACGAATCTCACATGAAATACGTTAAAGGAGTTTAAGTTATTTTTTAAGGACTTATCACACACCTTTGACGTTGTGCTTTTTAATACTAATGGCGGCTGTTAGATTCAAAATAAGTGAGGAACATTATTTAGTATTTAGTAACTATATCTGATTAAGACCCTACTCCAAAGGTCTCGTTGCCTCATTGATTGATTCAATGCCGAAACGTCGAATACTTACTTCGTTGCTGCCGTAGTCTCCTCCGGTGACAATGCCAAAATATTTGAAGTATCTCCAGGCCATGATTGGCCACCCGCCAAAACATCCAAAACCGCAAAAATAACAACAAAAAGTCAATTTTTCAGCAGAAATCAGTTGGTTGAATTTCCTGTCGGTGGCTATGCATAGGCGGTCGGAAAAAGCGCTCGTGGTCGCTATTGCCTATGTACGATAAATACAATAAAGATTAAAATCACAAATATATGTTGCCATATGTACTGCAATTGAAATCGACAATGTTGAAGTGCAACTTGGTACATAAAACAATATTACTTTATAGTTTTTATAAAATCAAATATTACCCAACTACTGCCGCACATTCCTTGATCTCGGACGTGGCCGATCGTTTGACAGTGCCTCCAGTATTTTCTTGCGTCGAATTCATAAACGGAACCGAAGTTTATATAATTCGAATCTTCAGTTTTTAACGGACCATTTGACAACTTTCCCACGCCTTTGGATCCCAACATGCTCTTAATGTACTCGACGGGAGTGTCCGAAGGGAAATTTTTACCGGCCTAAAATTAATACGATAACAAATTACGAACAGTTTCTATAGAATTATTTTAATACTACTATATTATTCCCTTCTCTTCCAAAGAACTGGACATTTTTTTACTTAAACTCAAAGATGTAAGGGCTAAAAATAACATAAATTACATATTACATTTTTATAAGTATAATTATAAAAATGTTAGATAACAAACTCATTTAATATTCTAGGAAACAGAAAATGCGATCACAGCTGTCTTATTTTTAAACCTCAAAAACAACGCCGTCAATCATATATAAAATACATTGGAGGAATGTTATAACAGAATTAACGAGTCAACGAAACTAAAAGCTACTACAGAATAATGTACAGATTAATTATTATCAAAATAAACAGCATCATAATAACTTACCTTCCATGTTGTTGCTTCATTGTTTATTTGATCAATGTAATCGTCAGCTAGAAAATGTGTTTGGTCACTTTGACGAGTAGTAAATAAAATGACAGAGAGCAAAATAAAAACTTTCGACATGGTTAAGATTAAACAAGTATATTAAAATATTAACAACAACACAACATTTGCTCTTATGCATCTAAAGGCATATGAATAATTTCAAATTAAAATTATAGGTTTATATATCCATCATGGACCACTTTAGAATGGAGTGTTAAGGATGGGTTGAAGAACTTCTGTACGCTTTTATAGTTTGTTTTCAGGTATATGTTATTATTTTGCTACTTAAATAGATAATAATTTATCACGTTGTGGTCACAACTATATTGTTATAAATATTTAATAATATAACACTTAATGACACTTTATTAAAACGATAGGAAAATTGAATATAATAACACTTATTAAACAACATTTTTACATTTGCCTATAATTCCAAGTAAATTCAATTAAAAAGTTTAATAACAACAAAATGTTTTTTTATTAAAATTAGTCGGCATATAAAAATTGTGCTGTAAAATATTCAAAGAATCAATTTGTGACAAATATTGCCTATTCTTTGCGCCTTGATAAATAGCACATTAAATATTTTTGAAAATCCTGTTTACTACATTTACAGTTACACCTGGGCTAAACCTACATCTAAATTTTAAATTCTAAAATAAAATGCGCATATCATTGTAATACCAATAGTCTTTCAGTAACGCATCAAACCTAAAACATTTGTCGAAATTCTTGTGTAAAAGACCCTTAAAGTTGGTCAAACTATAATATGTTTTTTGGTTTGTTGATTTTGAAGTTCATATCAGTTGAAAATAATGAATTAAAAACTAAAGACGGTTTTTCTCGTAATTAAGTAATAAAAACTTACTACTGTAAGATCTTTACTGTAGGATCATTCTCAATAGGTTTCCATAAAAACATTGACATAACTTGATATTTTTTTTTGGAAATTTTAATGTGTTCATGGGAAAATATACAAACACTGGAAAACACAGTATTTAGGCAATTAAAAAAAAAATACTGTAGTCCCCGATATTTTTCCCTGTTCAATCTATTATTATAAATACATAAGAGACCAACCTCCTGACAAATTTTCAACTAAAATTACAGCTAAAAAACACAAACAACAAAACAAAAACTTGTACTTGCTTTGTTTGTTTAAAATTTCACAATATTGATCATACATAATAATGGTGAAGTAAAAAAATGTATTTTTTGACTGTCAAAAAAAATAAAAATACTTTTATATTTAACAACAATTACTACTAATTTTTAAACGATATATATTATATATTTTTTCCAACTAGTCTGCGATGATTAAAATACATAGATCCATACAAAATGAGCCTGTGACATTCCCCTATCCTGTGAAGCCCTATCTCTAGAGACATAAGTTTAAATATATTTTATTTTTTAAATAAACTAAATACTTAATAATACATTTTGCATTAACATTTCGTTCAAAACGCTTGTACACTAACGACAAAAAAAACAACAGTACTACTTTACTGACGTTTAAATCGAATTTATTTTTAGATACTATGAATGTATTAAAGAATGTTCTATTTAGCTTCGATGCGGAGCTGAGAAGGTATTGTTTTTATTTAAAATTTTTATTTTTGTGTCTTGACCCACGATATTTTGTAAACCGCTGAACCGTGTAGCAACTCTATAGATCAGAAATCATACCTGGAAGGTACTTTATTAGGCCAAAAATTAAATCTGTAGACCTGTGACCTCTCCGTCCCCACTATGCCCCGACCGCACTATATTTTTTTTTTAAGTATTTATTTATTTAAATAATATATCAAACACTAGTAATACAATATCTGGTACATTTTTTTATATTTACACTTGCAGAAAGCCATTTTTTTTACAATAGGAACTTGCACGTAAATTGTACAATAAATTAAGTTATCAAACTATGCCATCATTATGTCATTTCTTTACAATTATACGCAAAATATTCACATGCATAGAATAATTTAATCAACTTCTTCTACAGTTGGCCCTCGAGACTGAGATCCTGGGAAACCACCTGCTTCTGGCATATGAGCTCCGCCTGCTTGTCCGCCGTGCATTTTCATCATTAACGCGGAACACTTTCCTTGCAGTTCCTTCAGTTTGTACTCATACTCCTTTTTATCAGCCAACTGATTGTTGTCCAGCCACTGTATCACGGAGTCACATTCCTGCCGGACAGTGTTCTTTTCAGACTCACCGAGTTTATCTCCGGCGTCATCCAAAGCTTGTTTAACGCCAAAAACGTAGCTTTCCAATTGGCTCTTAGCGGCGATCTTCACCCTTTGTCTTTCATCTTCTTCTTTGTACCGCTCGGCCTCATTGAGCATACGATCGATTTCCGCTCGAGACAACCGGCCCTTGTCATTCTTGATGACGATGTTCTTCGAACGTCCGGAGCTATTGTCTTTGGCCGAAACGTTCAGAATACCATTAGCGTCCAAATCGAAAGCCACATCGATTTTTGGCACCCCTCTGGGCGCCGGTGGTATCCCGGTCAGGTCGAACGTTCCTAATAGGTTGTTGTCTCTGGTCATTGCTCTCTCGCCTTCAAACACTTGAATGGTCACTGCCGGTTGGTTGTCCGCGTAAGTAGTGAACGTCTGAGTCTGCTTACACGGAATGGTACTGTTCCTCTCCACGAGTTTGGTCATAACGCCACCAGCCGTTTCAATTCCTAACGACAGCGGAGTGACGTCGACCAGCAAAACGCCTTGGATCGCAGAGCTGGTGTCCCCACTGAGAATGGCGGCCTGGACGGCGGCGCCGTACGCTACTGCTTCGTCGGGATTGATGGACAGGTTAAGGGACTTACCGCAGAAGTAGTTTTGTAACAGGTTCTGGATCTTGGGTATTCTGGTGGATCCACCGACCAACACCACGTCGTGTATGGCTCCCTTGTCTAGTTTAGCGTCGGCCAACGCTTTCTCGACGGGCTGAAGAGTAGACCTGAACAGATCCGCACACAGTTCTTCGAACCTGGCCCGAGACACTCTCGTGTAGAAATCGATGCCCTCCACGAGGGCGTCGATTTCGATTGTCGCTTCCGAACTGGTCGACAGAGTACGCTTGGCTCTTTCGGCAGCTGTTCTCAGGCGCCGCAGTGCTCTCGGATTACTCTTGACGTCCTTCTTGAATTTTCTCTTGAACTCTTCGGCCAAATTCGAAACCAATCTGTTGTCAAAATCTTCGCCTCCCAGATGAGTGTCCCCGGCGGTGGATTTCACTTCGAATATCGAGCCCTCGTCGATTTGCAGCACAGACACGTCGAACGTGCCGCCGCCCAAGTCGAAAATCAGCACGTTCCGTTCTCCCTTCAAGTTCTTGTCTAGACCGTAAGCCAGAGCGGCCGCCGTCGGCTCGTTGACTATCCTCAAGACGTTCAGTCCGGCGATGATGCCGGCGTCCTTTGTGGCTTGCCGCTGGGAGTCGTTGAAATAAGCGGGCACCGTGATCACCGCGTCCGTAACCCTCTTGCCCAAGTAAGCTTCGGAGGTCTGTTTAATGTTGGTCAACACCATGGAACTGATCTCCTCCGGGGCGAACACCTTGCGTTCGCCTTTGAACTGCACTTGGATTTTCGGTTTGCCGCAATCGTTGATCACCTTGAAAGGCCAATGCTTCATGTCCGCCTGGGTTTTCTCGTCGTCGAAACGCCGGCCGATCAGTCGCTTGGCGTCGAACACCGTGTTGTTGGGGTTCATGGCCACTTGGTTTTTGGCACTGTCGCCGATCAATCGTTCGGTGTCCGTGAACGCCACATAACTGGGTGTGGTCCTGTTGCCTTGTTCGTTGGCGATGATCTCCACTTTGCCGTTTTGCCACACTCCCACGCAAGAGTAGGTCGTTCCCAGATCAATGCCGATTGCAGTTTTTCCGACCATATTCGCGTTTGTCACACTAGGTACAGACGAAAAAGTCGTTGAATCTAATTGAAAAAGGTTAACACGTAGATATCGCACGGATAGCTCGTTGAAAATCGAACAGAAAAATTCGCGGTATATATGTGTGTTACTATGGTTATGTGTAATAGCGTGGAAGTAAATCATTGGGGATTAAACTATAGAACTATAGTACTAGCCAATCAATTAGTTATAATAGTACTTTAAATTCTTAATGAATCTTATTGTCAAATCGTCGGTAGAAAGTTTTTTAGGTTTATTTGAACCTAAAATATAAATATATTTACATAATTCTAAAAAATTAACCGAGTTATATTTGTTTAGCTTCGACGCGGAGCTGAAAAGGTATTGTATTTACAATGATGTGTTTTTTAAGTTTGTGTGTCTATACCCACGATATTTTCTAAGCCGCGTAACCGATTTCTTCGTGGAGCAACTCGATAGATCCGAAAGCGAACCCGCTGTACTATGTTTTTTTTTTAACTATAATAATAATAACTATTCACTCGTTAAAACAAAATTGAGTGTTGTACAGCTGTGCAAATGCCTGATTTTGATTGGATTGTCTGAAATGAATTATAATGACTACAAATACAGATGCTCATTGTCATAAGTTGACTGTAAATATATATATTTTTTTTTTAATTCCATATTGTGCGGTTCGATTTGGACTGTACTTGGTAAGCAAATTAAAAATATCACAATTTCGAGAAGTAGTTATCTATCACATCAAACAAATTGATTGAGTACCTGATTTATAATTTAATATCTAACTTGTCCTGCCTGAAATCGGTGAACGACCAATAGAGTAAATTAAGTCTATCACCGTGTTAAAAGTTGAAACCGTTTTCAAATAAAAATTATCATGAAATCGATTTCAGTAGTGTCCAAAGACATTTTAATTACAGTTATATCTAAAATTAAATTTTAATCTACTTGCTAATGAAAACACGTTATAAGTACTAGTTAATTTTTAAAAGTTAAAACTATTAACTATAGAGGTACAGTATACACTAGTCACTAAACATATATTATCGAGTATTTTAACTTTCAAGGTCGACCGTTAACGACAATGCTAGTTGTGTTATCATTTATTGATTTATCATAATATTGTATACAATGAATAAAATAGTAGAATGTGTTAACTAATCATTGTATGTGAAATGGGAAGAGATACTACTAAACGGATCATCCAAAAAAAACATATCGTCCCATTTGAAAACCAAATTAGTTATAAAAAAAAAACTAATTTGGTTAGGAACATATAAATTTGTGGAAAATTGAGTTCATATTATTATATAAAAACACATTGGAAAAAAAATTCAATTATTAATTAAATCCAGTGAGATATTAAGTGGCCCATGATAAAAGAATCACCCTCTATAGAACTATAACTAGATCATATATAAATATATATATATGTATATCAATATAATATAAATAATTGTTTGAATGTCAAGGAAAAGATTGACAAAAATAAAGTTGTTTTTGTAAACACTCGTGTAGATCTGCATGCGTGTAATCTTGTAAGATAATAATAAATAACATTTTAGCTATGCGCTCTGGGCCTCATTCTATCTGTTCAGTTTATGCGTTATACTAGTGTTTATGTCACTCTGTTATTATACTCTGTGTAATAATATAATCTGTTATTGTAGTTACTATATGACGTGTTACCAATATTAGTGTGTTAATCAGTTTATTTATTATTTTATGTTTTTATTAAAATACCAAACTTCCACTCGAACAACTCTTATACTATAATAGTGTACAATATTATAACGGATATTTGTTCATACAAATTGCAATGGTTTTCGAATATATATTTTACTTTTATTAAAGTACAACTTGATTTATAAACTTTGTATTATTAATTAAAAATGTAAATAATGTACAAGTAATATTATTATTTTCATGCACTTTCATATTTAGTTGATAGACCGTGCGGCAACAACAGAATACATGCCACGTGGCCATAGATAAGAAGCCATTACCTATCCAAACTCATGAATTTAAATTGTTTACGGTCCGACTTATTAACCTGACATGGTTAATTCATAACTAAATCTTAATTTGAGCATTAAAGTCAAAAACCCTTACAGGTAAAACGGATCCTCAACCTTGTTTTCGCTCTTAAATCTACAATACCCCATTCTCCTACCAGTTCTTTTGATTCTGCATTTTTAGTCTTTTTTCAGTTCACAAGTAATAAACCAAAAGTTTTTTAATTTTAAACTATATTACTCTAATAATTTCATTTTGGGATTGTCGCATATTAAAAATATACAATACAAGTTATATAACTAACGAGTTTAGACTACATGCTTTTTTATTATTTTTTTGGTTTTTAGTAAGTAACGGGCACGCCACCTGTCACCAAATCTTCGATTCCACACTCGTTAGTGCCCCTTCGGATCTTGAACATTCCCTTATCACCCCAGTTGGGATTCCACGAGTTCACCATCAACCAGTAAGGTACATCCCAATCGACTCCCCAACCGATTAATTTTACGGAGTGTCTTCCTAAATAAGTAGCGTTTTCCGTCTTCACGTAGACGCCTGTGAATAGTTAATGATGTATGGGTAGAGTCGCAATTCTACAAATTGGTTAGTTGAATCACATTTTATAGCTTACCAGATTCGTAGCTAAAGAAGTCGTCGTACACGTCGAAAGACGCTTCGACTGGGCCGTAAGCCATCACGTCCTTTCGAATCATCGCAGCCGTAAGGTGGTACGCGTCTCTGGCTGTAATAATAAGACAAAAATATAAAATTGTTCGGTTTAGCTGAAAAAAGATGAGGCAAATTCTCCAATTAAAATATTTTATTACTGTAGAAGTGGTCGTTGTGGTAATCAATGGTGGTGTTACCGTAACATTTTCGTCTGCACCTGTGTGGTTTTTCAATATGTGCAGCACTGCACGTGTTATTTCCTGTCTCGTCAACTGAACATGGCTGTACTCTGTATGGTTGGCAACCCTAGTGCAAAATACCGGTCTGTCAGTATTATCAGTAATGGTTCCGTTTATAAGAACTAGCAAAATTAGTGAAATATTCCTAAGGACATGCGGTTTGGTTGGGTTCGATTAGGTGAATGATTGGAAATGAACGACCAAACGAATCTCACATGAAATACGTTAAAGGAGTTTAAGTTATTTTTTAAGGACTTATCTCACACCTTTGACCTTGTGCTTTTTAATACTAATGGCGGCTGTTAGATTCAAAATAAGTGAGGAATATTTAGTATTTAGTAACTATATCTGATTAAGACCCTACTCCAAAGGTCTCGTTGCCTCATTGATTGATTCAATGCCGAAACGTCGAATACTTACTTCGTTGCTGCCGTAGTCTCCTCCGGTGACAATGCCAAAATATTTGAAGTATCTCCAGGCCATGATTGGCCACCCGCCAAAACATCCAAAACCGCAAAAATAACAACAAAAAGTCAATTTTTCAGCAGAAATCAGTTGGTTGAATTTCCTGTCGGTGGCTATGCATAGGCGGTCGGAAAAAGCGCTCGTGGTCGCTATTGCCTATGTACGATAAATACAATAAAGATTAAAATCACAAATATATGTTGCCATATGTACTGCAATTGAAATCGACAATGTTGAAGTGCTACTTGGTACAGAAAACAATATTACAATATGGTTTTTACAAAACAAATTATTACCCAACAGCTGCCGCACATTCCTTGATCTCGGACGTGGCCGATCGTTTGACAGTGTCTCCACCTTATTCTCGCGTCGAATATAGGAGGAATGTAATGGAAGTTAATATAATTCGAATCATCAGTTTTTAACGGACCTTTTGACGATTTTCTTACGCCTTTGGACCCCAACATGCTCTTAAAGTACTCGACGGGAGTGTCCGAAGCGAAATTTTTACCGGCCTAAAATGAACAAATTACGACTAGTTTCTAAAGAAGTATTTTAAATCTATTTTTTTATTCCCTTCTATTTCACAGAACTGGACAGATTTTTCCCTTAAAATCTTAGTCTTAACGATTAAAAACAACGTAAATTCTATATGACATTAAATGTGTTACAAATGCTTATAAGTATAAGGGAAATGTTAAATCATAAACTACTTTAATTCTAGGAAACCACAAACACAATGCAGCCAATCAAAGGTATAAAATACATTGGTGGAATGTTTTAACGAAAATAACAAGTTAACGAAACTAACAGCTACAGATTAATTAACATAGAACAACATTATAATAACTTACCTTCCATGTTGTTGCTTCATTATTTATTTGATTAATGTAATCGTCGGTTAGAAAATGTGCTTGCTCAGTTTGACAAATACTAAACAAAACGACAGACAGCAAAATAAAAACTCTCGACATGGTTTAGATTAAAAAAATGTATTAAAATATTAACAACAACACAACGTTTGCTCTTATGCATCTTAAGGCTTATGAATAATTTCAAATTAAATTATAGGTTTATATATCCATCGTGGACCACTTTAAAATTGAGTGTTAAGGATGGGTGGAAGAAAAAGCTCTCGAGCGGTTTGTACAATTATTTTGTATGGATTAGTTATCTTAACCATTTTAATTTCATATCTAAGTAGGTACTCTGTTTATTACAGGTTTAGGAAATAGAACATATTTTTTAAATGAACGTCTTATGTGTTTTACGAAAAGCGTGTTGTAACGATTCTAATATGTTATTCTTTTGCTACTTAAAATGAAATACCCACAATTTAAATTATTTGAAATAGTAGTACTATAGTGTTATTAACAAATACAAATAGTCTTATAAATATATCATATTATTATTGTTTTGTACATAAATACATAAAATGCACTACAGTTAATCCATAACTTTATTTGGTATTACATTTTTATATCTAAATATTTTTAAATTCTTAAATTCACTATTTGATTTTGATAATAGTTTTCATTGAACTCTCTATTTACAAGTTTAAACGTTTTTACCGATTCTCTGAATCATAAAAGGCCAGCAAGCCAGATTTTAGATAAATTCGTTTATATTGTATTCTAATTCTCATCTTGTGACCTCAAACCCTGCTCGAAAAAGAGAAATTAAAAAAAGTTTAAGAATATATTACAACTTAATTAAAAACATTTTTTACATTTGTCAACATTCGACATAACGCGGTGTAATTGTATAAAATAACTTATATCTAGAAAATGTTTTCTCTTTAATATTGGTCGGCATATTTAAATTGTTTACTAGATCAGTTATTACAGTAGCTATGTTTAATGTTATTTTTAACTTGCAAGTTTAAAATTTTATTAGAAATCTTTCATATACTACAATTTTAAATTTATTTTTACTCAGATTATATCATACAAAAAATCTTGGTCAGCCCATATAGTTAAGTGTGTCAATTCTTGTTGACAATATATAGGGTCTTCGAATTTTATTGCAATTTTTATATTAATTTTTAATATATGCAGTTGATATTGAATAAGATGACTATTCCGCTTTGGGTGAACTACTTGCAATGAACAAATATGTCACTACAGCATGTATACCGTCGTTTAGTTATTTTATCTTCATTACTATTTACAACCACATCCTGTAAGAGGTCATCTTTAATGCTCAGACGCTAGAAATCATGTGAGAAGTACAACAAGTGAATATCGACTTAACGGATTATCATTCATGAATTTTCACCGGTGACATAGAATTATCTGTTAAAGAAATTATAAAAGATAATAATATGACATAAAAGGGTCTCTGTATTAGATTGATATAAATATTCTTATAATTTTGTATATCTATACTATTATTATTAACTATTATACAGTAAAATAACAAACCAATAGTTTTCTTATCATAAACTATATTGTAGATTAAAATGCTTTTATTTCAGGATTGTCATATATTAAGAATACAATACAAGTTATAAAATTTCATAGTTCGGACTACATTATATATATTATTTTTTTTGTTTTTATGTGTTTAATAAGTAATGGGCACACCGCCTGTCACCGAGTCCTCGATTCCACACTCGTTTGTGCCCCTTCGGATCTTGAACGTTCCCTTGACACCCCAGTCGGAATCCCACGAGTTCACCATCAACCAGTAAGGTACATCCCAATCGACTCCCCAACCGATCAATTTCACGGAGTGTCCTCCTAAGTAAGTAGCGTTTTCCGTCTTCACGTAGACGCCTGCAGATAGTAAATGATGTATGGATAAAGTCGCATTCCGCCAAATTGGTTAGTAGTATCAAATTATGTATCTTACCAGATTCGTAGCTAATGAAGTCGTCGTACACGTCGAAAGACGCTTCGACTGGGCCGTAAGCCATCACGTCCTTTTGAATCATCGCAGCCGTAAGCTGGTACGCGTCTCGGGCTGTAATTATAAGAAAAAGCCATAAAATTGTTCGGGTTAAATGAAAAAATGGTCGAGATCAGGCAAATACAATTAAAATATGTTATTACTGTAGACGTGGTCTTCGTTGTAATCGATGTCGGAGTCTCCGTAACACTCTCGGTAGCAGCTGTGGTTGTCTTCGACCGGTTGTGCACTGCACGAGTTGTTTCCTCTCTCGTCAAATGTACAGGGTGCTACTCTGTATGGTTGGCAACCCTATAGTGCAAAAAACCGGTCAGTTAGTATTGTCAGCGAGGCTTTGTGGTCTAGTTTATGTCTTGGTTTCGTTTATAAGTTATTGATATTTGGGGTACTCTAATCTTAACCGTGAATATATAACTGTATAGAGATGTGAAAAAACAACTACGGTGGACAGAGCGATAAATTCTACCTTCAACTCCAAAAAGGGCATAGATTCAAATTAATGTTTTAATGTCTAACTAGTGTATTGATAACAAAAAAAAGTTTATGATCTTACCACTATTACAAGAAGTTATCCATTATATTTTGGCTTTTGCTACATGAGTTGGATAAGGTTTAGAGAGAAACGACCAACCTGAAGTCACGTGAAAGGCATTGCAGGAGTTTACAACACATCTTAACGTTGGCATTTTTGTAATGATAGCGGTTATTAAGCTTAAGAAAAATAAAGAATATGAAGTACCTTAGCCATCTCTAGTCAAGGGATTTGTACATAATTGCAAACCTAATTCAAAAGTCTCGGTGCATAACGGATTGATTCAATGCCGAAACGTCGAATACTTACTTCGTTGCTGCCGTAGTCTCCTCCGGTGACAATGCCGTGATATTTGAAGTACATCCAGGCTATGATTGGCCACCCGCCATAACATCCAAAACCGCACAAATGACAACAGAAGGTCAGTTGTTCAGCCGAAAGCAATTGGTTGAATTTTCCGTCGGTGGCTATGCACAAGCGGTCGGAAAACGCGCTAGTGGTCGACAATGCCTATAAACGGTAAATGCAACAAAAGTTAATATCACAAATAAATTTTACTGCGCATTGTACACGAGGTCGACATTGTTGAAGTGCAACTTGGCACGTAGTACAATATTTCTATATCTTTTTTATCAATTTAATTATTACCCAATCGCTGCCGCAATTTCCTTGATTTCGGACTTGACCGATCGTATGACAGTGCCTCCACTTTTTCCTAGCGTCGAATTTTCGAGGAATGTGATGGAAGTTGTCATAATTCGGATCTTCGGTCTTCATTGGACCGTTTGACGATTTTCCTACGCCTTTTGATCCCAACATGCTTTTAAAGTACTCGACGGAAGTGTTCGAAGGAAAACTTTTACTGGCCTAAAATTAATACGACGCCAAATTAGGACCATATACTATACGAGTCTTAAAATATCCTAACCCACTCCTTCTCTCCTTCATATATATTTTGACTTAAATTCATAGACATTAAAGATTAAGAAATAAGTCATTTATGTACTACAACAAATGCCACACAATTACTAAAAATATGAGTTCAATTTGTTTTCCGCTAAATTGTTGAATTTTATCATTAAATCTTTAACGCCTTTATTTCTATCGAAGGTACACATATATCCAAAGAGTCTACATCGTTCGATGCAAGTAAATCTCAGCATACTCATTCCGAACCTAGATGCACAGCATTATTACACAATTTGTATTGAAGTTGAAAGCTAAAATTTAATATTACGGTTAACGATTTTATTCACATGTAAGAAATTATGTTTTTATTAAAAAAATATTATAACTTTTAGTGTCAGAAAAATTAATATGCTATTAAAAATGTATTTTATTTACAATTAGTTATTATAACGTGATTGTTTAAATAGAAGAAACTAAATTTAATAAAATATAATTTAATAACCTTTTAATTAAAAAAATATATAATATAATAAAGGCTTACTTTAGCATAGATATGCAAAAAAAGTAGATGCAAGTTTATTGGCACGTTTAAAATATTTTAATGTGTACAGAGTGTATCACAAAATATTCTAGTGAATATTTTTTTAGATTTTTTTTTTTTTTAATTAACTCATAATTTTTTGCACTATAAACGACACGGGTTTTATTGCTTTTAACTGTTTTCCTTTTTTTTTTTTTTAAATTAAGATAGCTATTTTATTAAGAATAATTTTCTAAAAATGTTGACTGTTCGACAACCAGTTTTGAATAATTACTTAAAAGTTATTTAAATTTAATAATTAGGCCGGTAGGTGTAGAGCGGTAGAGTAATGCCCGAAGATTAAAATAACTACTTGCCTACTCTACCGCACTCCACAACCTGTCTTTTAAATTTTAACCTTTAACAACAAAATGTATTCAAAACTGGTTATCGATCAGTCAATATTCCTAGCAAATTATTGTGAATATCTTGAATATTTAAAAAAAAACCTTACAACATAAATTAAAAAATAATTTAAAAAAGAGAAATATTAAAGAGTAACAAAAACTGTTGTTTTAATAAAAAAATTCTTAAATTATTCTATAGAATGAAAGTTATTTCATTGGTTGCATCATGGAAAAATAGTAGATTTTAGTTTTATTTTTTACTAGTTAATTATGGATAAATTGTTGATTTAATCATTATTGAAAATTAAATCAATGGTTAAAATTAAATTTTATGATTAAAAATCAATTAGAAAAGTAAAAATATAAAATACATTGCAGGGAAGTTTTAACCGAATTAACCAGTCAACCAAACTAAAAGCTATGGAACAGTGTACAGATTAGTTATAAAGAATGTTTTAATAACTTACCTTCCACGTTGTTGCTTCATCGTTTATTTTATTAATGTAATCGTCGGTCAGAAAATGTGCTTGTTCAGTTTGATAAATACTGAACAAAACGACGGACAGCAATATAATAACTGTCGACATGGTCAAGATGTAGAAATGTATTAAAATAATGTTAAAAACACAATCTTTGCTCTTATTGATCAGAAGGTGTATGAATGAATTAAAATTAAAATTATAGGCCTTTATATACATCATGGGACACCCTTAGAGGAAATGTTGACAATGGTTCGAAGAACGAGCTCTCGAGCTGATTGTAAGATTACTATGAATTAATTTCCTTATCTAATCTCATTATAATACTCACCTTTTAATATTCATTACTAGGTACTGTGTGTGTCATGATGATATGGAAAGTGATTCGGGAAAATATAGAATATTTACTTTCAATGTATGACTATATAGGCATAAACAAAAACATTGACACATTTTTTAATGTATTTGTGAAATTGCATTATAAATATCTAATGGGAGTTCGTTTCAAACAATCCATTATTTAAATGTGTTTAACTACTAAATATATACTAATTATTAAAACGCATCATGCCCAAAATGAAACTGATAAATTTTCCAAGTTTTGAATTTAAATGCAATCCAAAGTTGTTGGAGCAAAATGAAGCGTTAACAAAAAGCTGATTAACTTAATTCGTGAGCAGTCTTAATGCAATGATTATTTTATATTCTAACATAATTTCATAATATAATACCGTCTTGGTCTAAAGTAGGGAAATAACTAATTTTATCAATAACCTGTATTACACCTAATAATATACGTCGTATACCTAGTTTATATTGCATGTTTAACCTGTTGTTGGTTATTATCGTATACAATTTTTTAATTCTATTTTGAAACTTAGGAATTTCGAAATGACAATGTCACCTATCGATACAAATAATCAGATACATTGTCACTGTAATAAAGGGTGAACATTTTATCGTGAACCACTCAATATCTCAAAAAGTTTTTCAATTAGGGTAAATTTTTCACAATTTTTTGTTTTTACCCCTCCCCATCCCAACTCACGTTTTTTGATAGCAACTATTGTACGTTATTTACAGTTTTAAAAAAATAATGAAATGTATGCTTAACCATTTAAGTTTCAATTGAGATCACATTGTATAAAAGCAATATGAAAAAAAAAATTACATTTCTTATTAAACCCAATGAGATGTCGAGTGCTCCGCAATAAAATGATTACATGTATGTAGATAAATTACACAAATTTCACAATGGATTCCAGAAAACCTACACCACTTTATTTCGCTTGGATTAAAGAATTAACATAAGCTCATGCTTAGTCTAGATAAACTGAGGTGCCATGGACTGTTTAATTTGTATTACTTCTCGGTACCGGATCCAATGCGATAACAACAATGATGACTTCACCGATTATGTTGGTCGTGGCTCGTACGTTGTGGCGGATAATAAGTGCTCATTATATAATTTTATTACACACATTACACATTGGCGTACAATCCGTGTTTGTATTTGATAATTAGTGAAAAATAGGTATAGTTTAAATTTGAAATGTTTACTGTAAAAGGGCACACAGAATAAACATAACTTATAAATTTAATTCGATTCGACCATTTTTCTCGAAATTATAGCTAGTAAAGTGTATATGAAAACTCATTTTACAGTGTGGGCAGAATAAAGAGGGTATTAGAAAAGGCTGTAAAAGAAAATGACATCGTTTTTTTCCAAATTACATTTTTACCACCTTAAAGTACACAACAAATAAACATTAAAGAAAAATAAACTTAGTTTTACTAAGACAAAATTTCGCACTAAGAAATGTAACCAATGTTAAAAATAACGCCAGTAAGATGGCGGCTGTTCAGGCGTAGACTTTTGACTGGTAAGCATGTCGCTTCACGGTTTAAAAATTCAAACTAATACATAGTACATTCTGATCAGCAGTAGGGAAAACTCCCTTTGGTCCGTTGGTTAAGACACTCGAAGCTGGAATATGACACTTAAAAATTACTCTATCGATTTCACTTATGTACGAACTTGATAAAAATTGTTTTTATGACGTTATAGGTTGTCCATTGAAACTGATAACAATATAAAAACTTGAGCACGAATTATCAAGAGTAGAATTATTTTCAATTGTTATATTTCAGCTTTAAACATCATCTCTTTTCTTTTAATTTAAACAAATTTGATTAGTAGTCAAGTTAGAATTTGTTATATCAAAAATTAAAACTACTCATGTTAGTAAAATGCAAAAAAAAAAATGAAGCCACAAGGATGTATTTAAGAGTCGAACTAGGTTATCTGAAATCTTAAGGTAAAATGGTAAGCCATTCTATATTCTATCACTATTTTTTTTTTGTTTGTTGAAATGATTATAAAGGGATTTGTTGCTACAGTAGTGGAAGATTTTTTTCCTAAGGATTAGTTATTTTAATGGGGGTGACTAAGGTAACTTCAGAGGTTTTAATTGTGTTGCTATGTAGCAAGTGTCTTATTAATTTTACAACGTTCCAGATATTACACACCAGTCATGGTAGAATTGTAGTTTTTCCAAAATGATTTTTAACTATTATAATTTAAGTCTTTTTATCTTTCATAATGACTACTTAACAATTATTCTTGTTTTACCATGGTACCAAATGTTTATTTCCCCCAAAAGGTGGTTTTACCTGCTACTAGTGTTGTCGTTGAGGTGTTAATGTTGGTTTTTGATATTTTCTACTATATAGTTAACTTATGTCGGAATTTTATATGTTAATGATATGAATGGGCTAGTAGTTAACTTTAAGGTATCCACCTGAAATTAGCAAAGTAAAAATAATAGTTTTTATTTCGTTGGCCGGTTTAATGACCCGAATGTGTCAACAGCTACGTTGAAGGATAACGCTTTGAGCTCCTTTAAAAGTTCCTCGCTTCGAGTTGTTTCAGACTTAGCGTGGCGGAGTTGGCTTGTCATACTTATAAAACTTGAACGTCAATCTGCCAACTTCTGCCTAACGTTGTATAATATAGTTTGGTTATTTTGCTCGCGAACAAACCGTGATGATATTAACTGTCAAACAGTGTACTTACATGCAAATGGGGCTAAACGTTACGGTACAGTTTGTGAGAACTTCCGCGCTTTTCTTATGATCAGAGTTCATTAGGTTATCGGACAGGCAAGGCGGTGCACGCACTCGAAAGTTTCTATACTTAATCAATTTTCCAAATACGCATAATAATAATAAGTCAGTATATTATATTTAAAACGCCAAAGGCAGGTATTAACTTTTCGCTCGGTTACTTCTGCGTTTCCGACGGCATTCAACAGTGATTTATGTCACACAAAGTTAGTGTTTTAATATATATTGTATTCAACAGGTTTCCACTTTTCGCATTAGATAATTTGTTTGCATACACCGGGTGACGGATTATTGTAACGTCCTACACTAGTTTACTCCTAAATCAATGGCAATTTTCTAGTAAAAATATTTTTATTTATGTTACAAATACAACGATATTAGACAATATTCAAATACCCTCCACCCTTCCAGCTTCCTCCCGTCCTAAATTTTAAACTAATAACTTTAAAACTATAATTTAATCCAAACTGTTCATAGTGCGGTCAACATTTTCAGCAAAAAATATTATCTCATATAGTAGTACAGCATATGAAACACAAATGTTTTCAAAAAGAAACACAACAAAATTAAAATTATTTTTTTGACAGGTCACAGGTCTAATATCACATATTTATAAGCGTTTTATACTTTTAACAAGGTTCAAAGTTTTTAAAATTACTTTTTAATTTCTTAGATCTCGCCCGTCAGTAAACTAATAAACTATTTAAAAAAATATTTAAGTCCTTAACAACACTATGAAGTTTATTATTTTTATAATGATTTTGGACATTTCCCGCCCTTATAGTTTCTACTGTAAACATAATATTTAATTTTGTACGTTTTAATAATTATTTTTTATTAATTATTTTTTGTATTCCCGAGTTCTTAAAAGAAAATTAATAGTGTTTTTAAAACAAAGACCCGCGACGGTTGTGTATAGTTTTGAAAGCGAAAGAGAGCTTTTGGGATTATTGAAAAGGTAGGCGGGTAATTGAATTGCGGTTTAGGCGATGTTATGTACTAATTACAATTTCATGTTCATAAGCTTGTATCTTATTTCCGTGGAAAAAGACAGTAATCGAACAACGATCGATCCGCGGACTTAGTCATAATATCTTAGAGCTTTGCTACAAGCTAGTAGAAGTGTTTTCATAACTGACAATTTATTTTGGAAACATGAAGATCAATACGGCCGCAGCTCGGTGTCATTTTTAAAGCGTAAGTTTTTTTTTTTAATAATGTTCAACAAGTTAATGGATTGTGTCAACAAAAATTTGAAAACGCTTAAGCACAAGTTCTAATCAATTTACTGTAAACAAATAGTATTTTCACAACAATTCCAAAACACTTAGGTTTTGATAATTTATTATTTAAAAGTTATAAAAGAAATATTATATTTCAATTAAAATATTATTATTTAAACACTTTTATTAAAAAAATTGATTTTAAATATTATTAAATATAACTGTTGAACTATAAAAAAAAATACAACCTAATAATTAAATGAAAAAAGAAGTAATATCAACAAAAATTACAATCTCTTTTAAGTAAACGCTTTGATGCGAATCTAGGTGTAATAATAGAATACAAAAATCGATAAAAACATTGTATTCAATGACAATAGTGTGCTTAGAAATGTATTTTAGTATAAGGGTGGAAACGATTAGGGTTGGTCGTCTGTCTATAATAGTTTAGAGCGGGCCATAATTTTAAGTCGTAAAATTTGTAAAGATTTTGGATGTTTTCCTCGACTTTGAAACTTAAAATATCTGACTTTAGTGTTTGAACAATAAAAATTAAATGTGTGTTTTTACACACAATACATACTTCAAGGTCTTTTATAATAATACAAAAAATCAGGTCACACAGACTGTTTTAAGTATTCTTATGTGTATTACTCATGTGTTTTTTCATATCGAAGCGAATTTGTGGTAAATAAGACACAGCAACAATATTACTAACCGTGTGTTGTTAACACAGTTTGTCATTTAATACAGCGCACATTAAAAAAATGAAACCTAAAACATTATCATTTGGAAACCCAATTTTGGGCCTCTGC